CTGTCAACCCCTAGTATAGGCTCTGTATCTGTGTCCTAATTAAAGTATATAGAAACCTTTCTGTAGGTTATTTTCTTTGTACGTGTTGAACCTCTCCAGCTTTCACCTCTGGCACTTAACTGCTTTTCTTATCCCTCCTGTCTGACAGCGAGAGGAGTCCTACACTACAATTATAATTGCACTCGCTATAAGTCAAATTTCTTTTGCTACCTTTATCTATTTATGTAATTCTCAAAAATTTATTTGATACAGACTTGATAAAGCCCACAGGAGAGCTGGCTACAATTTTTGATGGTACATTTCAGAGTCACAGGATGGCTGTGGTTGGAAGGGACCTCTGGAGGTCATCTGGTCCAATTCACCTGCACAAGCAGGGCCATCCCTAGGCCTTTATGATTTGGCAATTCCCTGGCAATCATAGTAGATGATTCTAGTTGTATGCTGTGACACAGAAACATTTCTTGCATTGTTTCCAGAATTCGAGTGTGCTAATTCCTGACAAACATTTTCCAAAGCTGCAACGCAAAAGTAAGCTAGACAATGTGTATAATTGCATATACACACATATATCAGTCTCTACCATATGTATGCATTTATTTTCCCTAAGGAAAGTCTCTACAAAGGTCTCACACCTTATGTATTTATATTTTCACTGCCATTCTTAGATTTTTTTTTTTTCCTCCTAGCTTCTAATCAGTCTTCTCTTACACCCCCCTTCTCTATTACATTTACCCCTGATTGAAACATTATTCTTGTTTCTTCACACTTAAACATACACACCAATTAGATTCTACCAATTCATCTTCAAAGCACATGCTGAAAGACTTCCTTTATTATGAATTTTGCATTCTTTGCTCTTCACTTCTCTGGTTTTCTTTATTCTGTTTCCCCTGCTCCTTTGTTCTGCATATTTATTGATTATGTTTCAAGACAGGAGTAGAAAATATGGCTATCACTGGAAGCAAATAATTGAATTACTCTTTTGCTGGCGCTGACCCAGTAAACTCACTGATGCAATTTTTCCTTGAGTGAGTACTTGCACTACAGTCAATAGGAACATTTCCATTATTAAAGTTACATAAGCATATATGCATCTCAATGATCAGAGCCACAAACATGCATGCAGCTCTTAGGGTTGCAATGACATGCAGGTTAAGGTCACATTCTTTGGGTCACAACATACAGAACCCATCACAGTCAAGGACTGTGGCCTCACTGCTTTACCAGCTCCCTAACCACCAGTATAAGGGTTTTCATACTTTCCAGGGAAATCTTTCTCTGAACGTAGTTATTATTTTATCCCCAGACAGCCATATTACAATTATTATCTTGAGCCCGTTACTTTCTATCCTAGTTCTAAGTACTAAGCCCACATCTCTCCCGCCATCTTTTTGTCCTGACTAGCTGTTACACTCCCTTTATCCCTCCCCTTCTATACTTTTGGTTATGCAACTCCAGTTTGTTCCTTTTTTTTTTTTTTTTTTAATGTGAAGTCCCTGTTCATTCTTGTTGCTCCTGCTCAAACCTTCTCCAGCTATTCCATAACTCTTTTCAAGCCTGGCACCCCAAACCAAACAATAATACAGCTGAAGCTGTTCTGATGCACAGCTGAGTGACTTCAGATTTCTCCCAGGCTCTCCTGTTGATATCATCATATATGGCATTTCTCACTTTCGCTTGTCTTGCCTGAGATACTTAGGTCCTTTCCTATAGGACTGAAGTTTAGCCAACTGTATCCCATTATGCACGTGGGAAGCTGAACATTTCTGCTCACAAGAAGTTCATTGTGTTTGTCTCTATTGCAGAGACCCCTCATTCCTCACTTGCATTGTTACTGTGAACCCTCTCTTTTTCTCATCAACAGTTAAGGCTCAGTTTTCTTTGGGACTGCTAGCTCATCCTGCATGGATGAACTGCACAGGTAATTGGCAGTTTTCTTTTGTTCCACAAAAGCTTCCTCTAAAATACATTTTAAAAAAAGGGGGGGGATTTGCTCCATCTGCCACTGAAGCTAAAAGGGGGCCTCATGACTGAGCAGCAGTACTGGCCCAGATGCATTACTATATTTAATCATTTCACCTGCATATTCAAATGTACTCCCTGAGTAGGTGGGGGAGTCAAATAGTGATTTAGTCAGGGTGTGTCCCAGTCTGCTGATCTGCATACTGGTATGAAGGAGAATTCTTACTACTGTTAAGTCCAAGAGCTAACGAATACCGTACGCCTACTCTCTTAATCCAACGATTACATTTGAAGATACCAATTGAGGTCAAGCCATCCATTCATTGGGCCCATTTTCACAAGATGTGTTTGGAAGGGTCCAGTTTAGCCTCTGTTCCCATCATGGACACAGCTCAACTCCCCAGTTAACATCTATAAGCATAGCAAAGGACAGATGACAGGGACCCACAATCTTGTCATCCATCTGGAGGCGAGTGATCTGTGCTGTTGTTACCACACACGGAGTAACAGCTGCACATTCACCATGGGCTAAGTAGCAGTGACAGTGGTTGCAAAGATCCTCCAGAAGACTGGGGGGAAGTGGGAATGAAGCAGCAGTGAAAAGGAGACCAGGGGAGAGAAGGCATGACAGAGGAAGAGTAGGAAAGTAAAGATAGGAGGGAGAACAGTCCAAAAAGGGTTGTACGTAGGAAGAACCTCCATAAGGATCCTTCTTATAGAGATTCCCTGCAACCATAACAATTACCCCCTTGAAGTTGTACTTGCCTATTTCCTGCATCCCAGAAATCTAGAATGTCCAAATAAAAAGTTAGAACTGCCTAAAATGAAGGGCTAAGAGCACTAGGACACACAAACTCCAGTGTTACAAGCACTTGTTGTACACTGATACAATTCTAACACCTCCCATTTATGAGGTTAAAGAAATAATGATTCATGAAACTGGCTGACACCTGGAATGATTTAATCAGGCCATCCCCAGCGTAAATGACATTGACTCACATTTCCAGCTGTAGGTGGAACTGGCAATTGTCTTTTCCTCATAATTGTCTTAACTTGCTTTGCTAGTTAGAAATAGTTTTCTAGGTTATATTTCAAATCTGGTAATCATTAGAGGTACATTCTTTCCATAGATGTTTTGTATTTATAGTCAACGGGAACATCTAGGACAGAATTTGACCTACAAACTTAATACCTAGCAGCAGCCTAGATAGAAAATCTGTACTTAAGTCTGAATTAGAACTAAAGTAACATTGCTCGAGGTATACATATACACGCAAAACATATTTAAAATATGAATGCACAGATTGGAGCAGGTGAAATTTTTGTGGTATTTTCTTTACCGCTTAACTATCTGCCTTTATCTGTGAGAATGCCACTCTCTTAATGGATGGCAAAACAATTTAAAAGTTAGGAGAAAATTACAATTGATGTTTTTATAAGAAAAAATTCAACAGAAAATAATATGTGGTGAGGGAAAAAATGCTGAAGTACTGCTCATCCCCCATTGATTCTCCATCCAGCTGAGTTTATAATCTTTGTCTCTTCTTTGCTTCCTTCCCTACCTTTCCTCTCATTCAAAAGTACTTGGACTATGCTCCTATTTCCGGCCACCTGTCTTTTCTTTCCCAAGGCATGGGCTTATACCAGACCCTTGCAATTAACACTCAGTGATGTTACAGTGACGCAAGCTGACCATAGCTAAGCTGACTTCAGTGGAACGTCATGACTTTGACCAGAAAGATTTGACCCAATTGCTGTGACCTGACATAGTTGCAATCTAATGCAGCTTCAAGTCTTAAAGCAATAGCCCTTGAAACCACTACAGAGACTTATGTGAAAGCCAAAACCAAGCAGAATAAGACAGAATTAAACCCAGGAGAAAGGCACTCAAAAAAAAACTGTAATTATATTACACATTTTGTCTTCTAATAAGCAAAAGGGAACTAACTGTGTTTTGACAATTGGTAAGATGTCTCTTTGCCTAACAGTCAGCTCTGTCATGTCCTCCTAGGTTATGTCCTCTGCTGAATATATCTATTTCTTCAAATATTAGGGACAGAATGAAGTCTCTGTGGTGACTGATCAACATATAGTGAAGCTCCCCTGCAGTGCAAAACAAGGGGATGTGCAGTACTGAACAAATCCATACCACGTTCTGTCACTCTGCCTGTAGCAGTGAGGGATTACACTGCAGTAGCTGAAATGACTGTAAATTTTTTACTGTGGGTCAGCCTTTATGCTCAGGAACCAAGCTGCAAATCTTATGCAGCTTTTTTTTTTTTTTTTCCTTCTAGTGATTTTGCAATATTCAATGTAAGGAACTTTTTAATTCTCCCACTTACACAGCATCTATAGATTAGCCTTTAAAAATCTTCCCCACAATTTTAACACCAAAGCAAAATTTTCTTGCTCCATAACCACCACTGGGTGGAACATTTACACCTGTATGTTACTACAATCATACTGCAAGTCTCAGCAAGTCTCTACCTCACTTTTCAGTCTTTATTATAATGTCTTATGAACAAAGCTTCTCTATCTTATATAGTTTTTTCTCTCTTTCACTGTTGTTTACTACCATCCAGAGCCAGAATTGTTGCTAAACTAAAAACCAAATGATATGCTGTTTCTGGCAAAATTAATTATCCAAATACAGCAAGATTTCTTATAAGGCTCAGTAATTCTATGCCTTTGTTCCAAAAGAGAAATCATGGATAACCACATGGTCCAATTTTGTAAATTAGAATCTAGCACTAGACTTAAAATTAAAAACTTGGGGCCTAACCATGAGGCCAAATTAATGGTTAAATTACTTTTTAAATCTATTCTGAGTTTATTGCCTGGGTGCAGTTACAGATCTGTGTGTGCTATCTAGGACAGTGATGAATAGTGACTAAATGTACCCCATGAATTCAGTCCTGAATACTCGTTTCTAATTAAATACTTTTTTCTGTCAGCAAGTTCCAGGAAGTGATTTCTGTACTTCAGAATCACTAAAAATGTGTTATTATGACTCTGTATCAAGTATTTTTTTTCCCCAGAGTACTGTTTTCTATGATCTTTGGAGATAAAGCTGCATCTCCAGTGACTTAAACAAAAAGGTGGACGTTGTTGTGACTACCATTACCGATAACCTGAAAGAAGGCCTTCTAGGTAAGACTCTTACCCGGAAAAGTCTGATATCCTGGTTTTCAGAATAAACACTTCCTTCTCTCAAAAAGCAACTAGTGTTCTGGCAGGGAGAAGAATGAGAGCAGTATTTTTGAGGGGTGGGGAGGGGAAGGTGTGGTAAATAATTGAAAAGGAAAAACTGAAATCACGAGAGGGTCCATAACCATTTTTCAGAGGAAGATCTGAGAAAAGGGCAACTCCAAACAACTTTTTCATGGAAAACGTAAAAGAAAAGAATACAGAGACTGTAGTAGTGAGGCAGCCCAGATATAGGCTTCCCAGACTTGTCAGCCCAAGGAAACAGCTGGAGGGCTTGCTCCCTCTGCTGGAGCATCCTAATGGACCCACAAGAGATTTGCTAGTTTGACCCACTTTTAAAGTCCACAGCAAATCTCTTTGACCAGGAAATAAAGATTTTACGAATATGGTCTCATTAATGCAGGGTTGATTACCACTTCTGACTTACTATCACAAGGATTTTTTTTTAAATTTTTTAACAATGTACTGAATATGCAGGTGAAGGCAGAGGGAGAGAGCTATTTCATTGTTTTGTTTTTGAAAAGTAGCAAGGCAGACAGGTTGAAACCCATAATTTTTAAATCATAATATATCAGTCCAGTCATACTGGACTTTGGGGGGCAAAATAGGGAAAGCAAGAAGACTTCTTCCAGCATCATGTAATGCAGAAGAACAACTGCTGTCATATGACCTTTGCTCTAGGATGGATTACTTGCTATCATTCCTGTAGCCACGTATAGACAAAGTCACATCCCTTTTTGAACTGTATGTTGTTAAGTACAGTCTGATTTTCGATACTTTGGCTTATGAATATATATCAGGTGAATACATGAATACAATACAATGAATAAATATTCAGGTGAATACAATGCCATCACTTAGTTATTTAGTGTTCATGTTGGATAATATCAGTCTAGTAGCATGATGCATAACAACAGCAACAAACTGTGACTCAGACACTCACTGACACAGCTCAACCTTTGCTTGCAATAGTTTGTGGCCGAGGCACCTCTCTCTCTTGGAGAATTAGGTTTACTTTTGGACTCAAAGACATCACACATGATTTCAGACAAATTATGGGATCTTGTATTGGCTTTCTACCTGCTAACTGAGACTCGAGATGTCTTACTCCTCCATGCCTTTTTATAAACTTAAGTTACAAAGCTTTGGTATGGAATCCACCTCCTCCTGTACATGTATCTGACACAAATGCCTCCAATATAAGAATAATACTAAAATAGTAGAATAGTTAACTACTCAGCTAGATATTAATTCGTGGATTTTGTGGCCTCTCCAGTTTAAATCAACTTATTTTCCAGTTCTCCCATCATTTCAGTGAACAACCTGGTGATCAAGTTAGAAATTCAATGGAGGAAATGGAAACCAAATTCTGCAGCAGTGACAAAGAGGAAGCTTTCAAAAGAGAAACGCCATACTGCATAGGAGAAATCGACTTCACCGCTTCTGGGAAGAAACGTGGAAAGGTACAGCAATGACTACTTTTAACCCTTTATCACTGTTGCTGTTGTTCAGCTGTTACTTGCTTAGCATTAAAGGTAGAGATTATAATAGTGAGGATCAACATATCACAGGGCTAGGCACCACACTGAAACCAAAGTAGGAACCATACCTTCATGAATACTAGCGAAATTCAAGATGAGACCTATTAACAAAGAGAACTCAAACACTTGACTCACACAGACCTGCTACAGGTACAGTTGCTCACACCTTTTTTCCTTTAAAAAATAAAATAAAATCTCACGCCCAGCTTCCTTCATTTTGCATCATTTCCCTGTTTTAAACACTTTCTGCCAAGTAATCAATCACTGTGGATTTCAACTTTTAAAACATACTGTTGAGCTATTTTAAAACTCTCGAAGTTCCTTCCTTCTGTTCTGCTAATATATATAGAACAGGAAGAAGCAATAGATTTGTGTAGCACAATAAGAATCTAAAAGATCACAGCAAGGAATGGGCTGCCTACATGAAATCAGGCAAATATTTCAGCTAGTTCAGAAAAAAGTAGTGCCTAAAGAGATTTCTTGGCTTTGCTAAACTGCTGAGGAACTGAGGCAGTTAAAGAAGAGTAGCAACATTAAAGGAGAGAATGATAATATCAGTCTTTAATGCAGAATGAAGCCATGGAACTGACCTGATTAACAAGATGAAAATTTTGCAGAAACCTGCTAAATTAATCCTGGAACTTAGTTTTCTTATCAGGTCTCGCTCAAATAATTTGTTCCCAAGGAGTACTAATAAACATTTAATTATTATGATACATTTACCTCTGTATTCACCATGAAAAATACTGTATCCTACTGTACTATTATTATTCAGTATTTTTTGTTTTGTTTATTGAAGTTTATTAAGGTCCCGTGTACTATTCATCCTGGAATTATATTTGAAGTTATGCTCAACAAATGGAAGCTACCTGCTCCCAATTTGGTCGTCTCTTTAGTAGGGGAAGAAGAAAATTTCCAGATGAAGCCTTGGCTACGAGACACCTTAAAAAAAGGACTCATAAAAGCAGCTCAAAGCACAGGTTAGTGCTTTGGGCATTAAAGGAGAAATTTACATTGCTATATTCTCACACCTAATGATCTTTTAGCATCAATGGTCCCACTCACATGATTATTTTAGAAGTTCGAGGCTTTGCCGAATGCAGCCTACAACTTGCATTTAAATAGCTTTTATTTATATATGTTGTTATAATAAGTTATTGTATTACAAATAGCAAAAATAAGCTATTTCAAACCAAATTACTCCAGACAATCATTTCTTAAGTGTAAAATTACCTGAGGTTATTCTCTCAAAGACGACAATAGAAAGATTGCAGAGATAGGACCAAATATGTTGTCCAACTTTTAAGTTGTAACAAAACAACTCTTAACATAGCTTAATTTGGTCAAAAGTAACTCTTTTTCTCTCCATTCTTACTTTTTAGTTAACAAAATCCTGTTACAATTGTTTATATTTTTTGAATATTTTTCTGCAAATGTAAGAAATGTACTTTATTAGTGAAACAGAAGACTTAATATTTAGAGTCAAGTTTAAACAAAAGGGCCTTGTTAATGCTTAACATTAATGTCTAACATAGCAGAAAATAAGTCAGCTCACCTTCTCCCTGGCTGTACACATGAATTACAAGAGTAGGGAAATGCATTTAAAAACAAACAAACAAAAATCAGGTCTGGAAATCTGAAAAGAAGTGGCTAATATTTAAGATGATATATCTTCTATTATCTTTGTGAAAATAGCTGCAAAATGAAGTGAAAATATCAGTTCACCTCTCCCTATCTGGTCCTCATTTCAAGCCAACAACTTTCTCCTCTCCATCCCTTTGCCCCTTCCTCATGCAGACCTGCCTAGTGTAGTGATGTTGCTGATCCTATTTAGACAGTAGACATTTACTCCTGTCTGGAAACAGCACTGTAGATAAGCATATTTATATTAGAGTAAAGATGGCTGGCAGGATATGTAAAGCACACCTGCTTGGGCACAATTTCCTCTTTCCCTTGTTAAAGCCTTACATTCCATGTATGTCTTTTAATTCTAAAAATTACAGTGTATCAAGATCTGTTTGCAGCTTATCCAATTATCTAAACAAAACTTAAATCTAGTACTTCCCATAATGTTACTTGACACACAAGCCTGTCCAATTACAAAGAAATTGTCTAACAATTAAAATATTTTCAGATGCCTGGATTTTTACCAGTGCTTTACGTGTTGGAATAACAAGACACTTAGTGCAAGCAGTCCGAGATCACGCACTGGCTAGTGCTTCATCCAAAGTAAGAGTGATTGCCATAGGAATAACTTCCCTCGGAAAAATTCAGCACAGAGAAATTCTGGAGAACGCAAAGGTATTTTTCCTTTTATTCTACTTGTGAGACAGGATTGTTCAGAAGTGAACTTCACATTTACAAAATTTGGAAGTAGTAGGCAGCAAAACATCGTGCTGTCTTAAAAGTGGGATTCAAAGGGTGTTTTAGGGAAAGACCTTAGCAATGAGCACGAAGAATCGTTAGACCCTACTGCTTCCATGCCTCGTGCGTTAAACTTGGCAGCAAATCTGCAAATATCCACCAGGTGGCAGGATTGGCCATTAGCTCAGTAGCTGGCAATAGGGTGAACCTGAGGAACAGCACACATCATAGGATGCCTGAAAGCTTTTTTTCTCCTTGTTCATCTACGGCAGAATTCCAAGCTATTTCAGAAATACTGTAAAAACTGAATATCCTAGTATGAAACCGAATCGTAATTATTTCAAGTTCTCCTGGCCAGTCACTGAACTGGTGTCTAATACACAAAACCTTCTCTACATGCTGGGCCAAAAGTGCTAGCCATACAAGACTTTGTTTAGTTGGTGAGAGTTCTGGGGACTTCAGAATTCAGATCAAAGCAATTGAAGTTTGTGAGAGGGGAAAAAAAAAAAGTACACACAAAACAACAATAAAATACACACTAACAAAAAAAGTAAAAAAAAAAATCAGAAGAGTCGTTGCAAATGCCAAGTTGATGCTGAATTGACTTGGAGGTGGAAAAGGGAATTAATGACATTCTTGTCACTGCACTGTCTGTCCTAAGCAGACTATTATAACAGTAAAATGGGTGTATAGTAGTGACAACAACACTTTCTGTGTTATTTTACTTTCCTACAGAAGCTGAAAAGCAGGTAACAAACACAGCCCTTTGAACTTGCACCTAGTTCTCTCAGATAAGCTGGCAAGTACCAGCTATCAGCAGGGAGGCTGCCAGACTGTATTTGCATTTTATTGTCATTAGTTTTCTCTCTTTTCCATCCCTTTTGCCAAGGACAGGTATCAATGTGCTCTGTCAGATGAGGCTCTCCAGCTGGAAGACTTGAACCTATTTGTGTGGCTCAGAGGAAAGAATCTCATTAGGGAATTTTGTTTAGAAAAGTTCCTTTGGCAAGAGCAAACTAGTTGCTTCACCTCCCTCCCAATCTAAGTGATCAAAACACACCTGGATCTTTCCCAAACAGTAGCTACAAAATAAGTGCACCATTCTTTTTACTGCGTTAGATTTTCTCCCTCTTGACTAAAGCTCAAATTCTTTGTCAAAGAGTAGGTGGAGAGCACTCTTGACCCTCTGACTTCTGGCACTGCTTCTACCCAAGAACACCCTAGATCTTAGAAACTTTAGGACAAAAAAGAGCTATAGACAAGGATATTGACCTAAACCCAGTTCTTCTTATAGTTGACACTAACACAAACAGCTTGTTGTACAAAATAGAGCTAAGAATTCACAGTAGCAAGGAGAAAAACAAGGCCCAATATCAGTGGGTCACTCCTTCATTTCTGTGTTACTGGCATGCATTAAAGAACCTTGAACAACTGCTTCTGCATTTTCAGTGGACACAGGAAAATCCCTGAGAGATTTTTTTTCAGTTGGTTGTTGTGTACCGGGGTCCCAATCTAAGGCCACATCTCTCTGGCAAGTAGGCTTAATGTTACACGGCAGCAGAATATAGGCACAACCTCCATCTAAACAAAACATGAAAGCAAGTAACTGCTTCAAGGTAACCTTCCCCAATGAGACAGGAGCAGGAGGGAGGCAAGAGAAATTTGTGGCACTAGCTGTCTGTAAAGGACATGCAAATTTACTACTTCCCCCCCCTCCCGGAACAGCCTCTGACATTTCTACTCTTCCCAGAGCTGCTGAGAGGGCAAGAATCCCTACCTGTACCTGCATGCTCTGTCACATTTTTAGAATGCAGCTTCCACATTAAGAATAACCATGAGACCTCACATAACCATGTAAATTAAACCAAGCTGTGTTTAAATCTATATGGATGTATAGCAGGCTGACTTATCTACTGGTCTAAGCATGGTGAAAATGTTACTGAAATGAACAGGTTTGCCCTTGTCTAAAATCGGGCACAAACATCTGAGACATTAAGGCATCACTCACAGTTATCTAGTCTCATGGCCCCAAACATTTGTGCAAGCACTTGCAGCACCTCTGCACAAATGCCTTTGTTCTAGAGATGATTCCTAATGTCAGTATATTTTGCAGAGCCTGAGAGGGGAACTTCAGGGACTTCAGCTTTCAGGCTATCACATCTAGCACCTTTCAGAAGAAACAAATACTCCTTCCTTTTCATAGAGGCTATTCAAGTGTCTGAAAAGTGGTGCTCTATGTCATGGCACAGATAACATGAAAAAGGGAGATGAAGCACATAGAAATGCAGACTGTTCTTTGTAGAAAAATGCTCACATCTCTCCTATCTCTAGGATGAAAGCCTTGTACATTACCAGTCAGATGATAATGTCCAAGGCCCACTGTATTCACTGGACCACAACCATTCCCATTTTATTTTGGTGGATCACGTAACACCAGAGGATCCAGACAGAACGACTGAACTACGGCTCACCTTGGAAAAGCACATTTCAGAACAGCGCACTGGGTATGGTGGTAAGTAGACTATACAAGCATCCTATAGCTTGAATAATAGCGACATTACAGGGATACATGTGGGTCCCTTGCCTTATCAAAGGCAACTCCAGTTCTCAGTTTACCATCTACATAGGCAAGATCAAGTAAACACAGTTGTCATTGTGTAAGAGGCAGAACTAAGCTGACTTAAGTTGAAAAAAAATGCTCTTTGAACCAAAAATCCTGACATTTATTGCATCTCCTTAAACATAGCTCAAAGCTGACCTTCAAAGCATCTCTCAAATTGCCTCGAAACACAACAGATGGAAAATAAATCCAGGTTTAAGTGCCCTAACCAGTGGCTCTAAGAGATGGATGTTCATTGTTGTATACTTTTATCCCCTCTCACACTGAGTCTTGAATTGCTCCCACTCTGGAAGAAAAGACTTGCCAAAGCCTTCTGAAAATTTTTAAGCCATATTTGTTTCAGGATAACATTTTATCCTGGGTGAACAGCATAGCATCTAATATCCCTCTAAACCAACGTGAGCTTTGTTTACAATGAGAACTGAGCATGGGGTAGGCCTCCTGTTGCGATTTATGGAAATAATTCAGTTGTAGTCCTAATACAATTACTTTCACCTTTCCTTTGTTTCTATAATACCTGCAGTGCTAGCACAGCTAAAACACAGGAGAAAGAGCTCACTTATTCACATTTTCATGCTTCACTGGAGTATTCAATTACATACCCTACAGTATGGTTGCACAGATATATCTGAGAGCAGGAATGCACCCAATGTTTATGCTGTGACTCAGTTGGGAAAGACCACAGGTGGACTCTAATGGTAGGCAGAGGTTGCAGTGCTGACAATTGGAAAATAGCCTCTTTCTGCTTGCAAACCAAGCTGATCAAACAAATCTCTGAGGAACAATTTTCTGTCCAAAAATTCTGATTCATTTGACAAATATTTCACTGGAGCATACTGAGTTCAGTGAGATCTTCTATAAAGAAAGCAACTATAGTTCATTTAAGTTCAGCAAACCCATTTAACCTTACTGAACTAAAATACTTCAATAAGGTGGCACAGAATTTCCCTATTAAAATATCTACAAATTATACAAAGGAATTTTTTGGTATTTTGAACATTTTTTTCAAATAAGTACCTTCCCCAATATAACATCAGAATTCCCTACTACCACACACAAAAGTGTAAATTTCACCTAAATCTATGCTAAATGAAGAAGATTCAAAACCAGAAATGTTTTCCAATGATTCTGTAGTCATAGGGGTCAGTTTTCAAACTAGAATAGCACCTTAAAGAGGTATGGCACTACTATGCCATTCACTAAAACAAGTCAAGTTACCTGCCAATCATGGCTAAACTACAGCTCAGTTCTCCTTTATCTCTGTATTCATCCCACATCAGATGCAACAAGTAGTAGAGACTGGGAGACCTACAAAGGGAAACAACAAAAAACTGTTTGAACCAAATACCTTTTTATCTTCCAACTATAAGAGGCATTAATCTCATGACGCTGCTGGCTCTCTTAGGCCAATCTACAGTCATCTTCAGAATTCTGAGTTCAGTGTTTACAGTATAAACCATTTAGAAAAAAGTGGATACCTGTGGGAGAATGGATGAACAGGGATGCCTTCACCATTTCTTCCCCTGCAGCCATAAAATAAGTTAAATATTTGATAGGCGTTTCTTTTAAATATAGCACTACTCTAAAAATAAAAGATTATAATATTGATAGTGACCACATTAGACTGTACTGAATGATGTTTAGGCTCTTTAATCAGAGTGATAAAGAGTATATAGGGTAAACAAACATCTTAAATCAACAGTGCTGTGATGTACAGAAGTGCCAATATCCACATTTTGCAGCTGAGGCACACAGAGGTGTGAAGAGACTGAACTACTTGCCAGGAATCACACAAACGTTTATGGTAAATGTGCCTCGGTCCTGAATCTTAGACTAAGGCCCTGTCTGGCCATAGGGTTATTTTCTTCCTTTGCCACTTGCTTCTGCAGTTGCCTGCAGTTTCAAGTTTTGCTAGGTACTGAAACAGGACATAATAGAAGTACTTTTAAAGTGAACAGCAGAAAAGCAATAGTTTTTGTGATAGCTGTTAACACTTGTTTATTTTTGTTTTCTTCTTTAAACCATCTATTTCACAGGAACAGGCAGCATTGAGATTCCTGTGCTTTGCTTACTGGTAAATGGAGGACCAAGCACACTTGAGGTAATAAGCTGTTTGTAATTTAAGAAAAAAAAAAAAAGGTAATAAATACTAAATAATTACTGGAAAAATGGTTGGATGAGAAATACATGTATTGGCACTTTACATGAAGTAAAGATTGAGATCTATACATCATTTAAGAACAGAATTCCATTAATGTTAAAATTAACCATATTTGCTTGGAAGAAATATTTCACTTTGAAAAGGTGCTGGCAAATCAGTAAGGCTTCTACTGCTAGCTAGTACAGTGCAAAGAAAAAAATTCAAAACCAGAACAAAACCTCAGAAGTCAGCTTCAAATTTAGTAGAGTAGAAATACTGTGCTATTGCTTGAGATGACATCCGAAAGGATTAATCATTCAGCAAGAGAGGGAACTGTCACAGAACCCCGTGGAAACGCAAGGCCAGGTTTTCTAGATATTCCTCTTTCAAATGATAGTGTCCTACTTCCCCTGAGCAAAAATACCTTGTACGATAGAAGACTGGAGAGTTGCCTGCTAACGTTCTCATATCCTGTTTAGCAAAGAATCAGTTATGATTTTTTTTGAGCACTTCCACAACTTCCAGAACATGTTGACTAGGAGATCTATAGTATCTATTTTACTTTTTCTGATATTTTATTTTAGTACTTGGTAGCAGTCAATATCAGCATGGCTTTTTTTTTCTTTTTTTTTTTTTGATAATACTCTCAGCTGAAGACAAATACCCTACTGTACCTTTAAAGAGAGAAAATTTTCAGAATGTATAGCTAGGTTTAGCAGCCAGAAAAGCCTGCTGAGAATTCCTGTACAGCACTCCTCTTGCACTTGACCATTCTGAACTACGAACAGCTATAGGGAAGGAGTGGAGAGAGGGGAGGGGAAAAACAAGAAACAGACAACCAGTCATGAACAAAGACATTTTATGCATTGCCTGTCCAAATCTGGATGCTTAGCTACTCAGCACGTGTCATGGAAAGCACTATAATCAGGGACTTAGAACACGGAAAATCTGCCACAAAGTCAAAAAAATCCCAATAGTCCAGAGGAATCTGGACTGACTCCAGAATGAATAGGTACATATTTATTTCTAGTTTGCAAGGAATCTTTCTTCTTTGAGTAACATTTTCTTTGCATGTATGAATTCTAAAAATGTACTTTTTAAACTACAGAGGATTTGCATCGGTTTGGAAAATTCTGCTCCCTGGCTTATCTTAGCAGGGTCTGGAGGTACAGCTGACATCTTAGCTGCATTCATGAATGAGCCACAGCTTATTGTGCCAGAAGCTGTTGAAAAGCAATTTAAGGAGAAATTCCCTGCAGAAAGCTTCTTGTGGAAGGACATTCTCCAGTGGACAGCAACAGTGAGCTCATGTTTGATAATTGCATGCAGTATTTGATAATTACATGCATCATGTTCACAAGCTCTCTTCTACCATTCCTAGCTTCAGTACTCCTTTCAGTGTAGTTTGAAAACACACTCCCCCAAAGTTTTGGATACTCCATTGCTCTCTTGCTAATGCCATATACCTCTCTAACACTAAAATCAAGGTGTCAGTTGATCATACAAGCTACTTTGTCCTAGTGACTCAGCTGAAGACCAAAGCCTCTGTTCTTTCTCAGTTATTTCCTCAAGTAACAACCAGCACCCAAGAATGCCAGAGTCCTTCTGGAGGACATGAAGCATTATTTATCCTCCACAGCTGTGGAGCTCGTGCAGCTGTGAAAGAAGCAACCTAATTCATGATCTACAGCTGTTAAGTGGAAAACCTAATTGTGGGCATGCATGAATAAATTAACAAGAACAAAGAGTGTTTAGAAGTTACCCTATATATTGTTGGTTATTTGTATTCTTCTTAAAAAAAGACAGACAAAACAGATCCATAGATTGTCTTTATTCTTTGTCTTGAGGCACACTCACTGGACTTAAACCACTATGGCTAAATGTTTAAGAAACAAAAAAACACTTTGACATTGTCTTCATGTGAAGATTGAAGAACACTGTATGCCTCTGAGACAAATGGAGGCATTTGCCACACAACCTCACCCACTACTTATTCTTTGCAGTCCTCACTGTAATCCTTAGCTTTGAAGGTCCACATGCTACTTCCATTAGGGAGAACTTTGTCAGATCACTAAGAAAATGAGATGGACGGGCATCAAGAAGCAGCATTGCCAGGTTATCCAAAAGTCCTGGTGCAGCTGCACTATGAGAAACAAAACTCGAAGAGTCAGAAGGAGAGTACTGTATGTGTCACATTCAATGACTTTTACTCAAAGAAGCTTTAGAGACCATGCTTTGAAATAAACAATTCTGAGAGGAGAATTTGAATGTCAGAGCAGAAAAAGGTAAAGCAGAATTAGTGATCACAGCATGACTATGAATCAAATAGGAATGGGAGTTAAAGATCTTCTAGTTAAAGCACTGCCCTGATTCTCAGGGTCTCCAAGTTCTACTCCTCCTATCGTGCTATGCAATGCTGGGAAAGACAATAACTCCCTCCTTGCCTCAGGACCTATTTATATGGAAAGCTAATAATGTTCATCTTCTTGCCAAACCTCAGCTTTGCATTTAGAATGCATGTTCTTTGGGAAAAGCTGTACATGTGGTCTACACTGGGCTCTTAGACATTAGTGTTTAGACAGTGGTTTAAATGATTTCTGTTTCAACTCCCAATAGATTCAAAACATTATTTCACACCAACATCTTCTAACTCTGCACAACTTTGAGCAAGACGATTCAGAACTAGACACAGTCATTTTAAAAGCTTTAGTAAAAGGTAAGAACAATAATTGTAATACTTTGTCATTTGACCTCACTGTGCCATAAATATATTTTATTCTTGTCCAGAGCAAGTTCGGTTGGCTGTTCCATAAGATTTCATTTCTAATGAAGAGTTGTTCTGCTTGCTTATTGACAAAGTAACTGGCAGCTTTTGAATCTAGCATTAAACTAGCGTTTGCTTTTTAATCTCATGCTATTGTATAGTATTATTTTAATTAGTCCTTTATTTCACAGCTTGCTTCTCTTAGTAGTAGAGGCAGTAGAAGAACTGATATATACTGTAACAGTTATTCCATTTACAAACCATTAACAAAACCCAACACACACAACAGAAAACACAATCAGACCTGAACTACCTTAGTTCCAGAAACAACCAAGTACAACCAAGTTGTTCTATAAAAAACCTTCACTGTCTGTTCTGAAATACATTACTTGCTCTGCCAGCCCTTTTAATTTGTGTTAGACTAGCCTAACTTTAGCATTACAGAAAAAAGACATTCTATTCCTCATGTGCTAATTAAAACAAGACAAAAACAATAGCCTCACCCTCCCCGCTTTCTGCGGATCAGGGTCTTTCTTAAAATACTAATTTAATTTGATGTTTTAAGAGAATTTAGCCACTAAAATATTCAAAAAATGAGGTTTTAGATTAATATTTCTTAAATGAGGAGAAAAAACACCTGTGAAGGGTTCCTGGTTTAGTGACCTACAAATCTGTGATAACTGAATGATAGCTGATTTTGCCAATCAAATTACCAATACTATATTGAATTAAATGTAACTAGTGTAAAGTACTGAATTTATTTGCCTTTCTTATTTGTTCCAGCCTGTAAAAGCCACAGTCAGGAGGCCCAGGAATATTTGGATGAACTAAAGTTGGCAGTGGCCTGGAACAGAGTGGACATAGCTAAAAGTGAAATATTCAATGGTGATGTGGAATGGAAGGTACAAGGTTTTATTGCATTAGAGGCCAATCGGCGTGTAACCTAAAGGGTGTGGGACACGAACATACTGACAAGAAAGGCCTCAGTTTTCATCACTACCTGCATTCCTCACTAAGAGATTAGGCAGCCATAGCATCCTTGTTTAAGATGTCTTTCTGGTTCCCATCCTGCCCCCCAAATGATAATGGGGGAAGACAGGTGAATAACTCAGTGGTTGTGTTCTTTTTCTTGAGCCTTTGAGGATCAAGAACCCTTTACCCCCACACCTCTTTCTGTACAGACCTTTAAGCACGCAAACCACTGTTTCTAACTGCTACATAAATACCCAGTGCAGTGGGTACCTGAACATCATCACAAGTCCTACAGCTTGCTACTTGTGCTAGTGTTTTAATATTAATGTTTACATAGACATTTTCTACATAGTTCTATCCCTCTTTCTCATCATACCTACAACTGACCTGTTGTAAGGCACAATGTATGTGTCCTAACAGTAAGTTTTACCTCCTTTCCTTATTCATCCATGAATATCTCTAAACCCACTGTTTTTCTTCCTTTTTTACCCCCCCATTCCTCGTCCTTCAATCAATCTAGTCCTGTGACCTGGAGGAAGTGATGATGGATGCTCTGATCAATGACAAACCAGAATTTGTCAAGTTGTTTATTGACAATGGGGCCAACATATCCGAATTCCTGACATACAGTCGTCTGCAGAGACTCTACTGTTCCATTTCTCAGAAGTGTCTCCTCTACAAACTTCTACTGAAGAAACATGAGGAAAGCAAAGTGACCTTGGCAGGGCTCACAGGTCAGCAGCAGCAGGAGTCCTACCCACTCTTCACTCTCAGTGAAGTTTCTAGAGTTCTCAAGGATTTTCTCCATGATGCATGCAAAGGTTTCTACCAAGATCTCAGACACGGAGGCAAGAAGAAATCTGTGAGTAACAACTTTCCATCATAAATCTGATCCTCTGCAATTTAGAATTTTAAAAGTTTTGGCCATTTCTTGGCTTCAGGGATGGGACAAGGAAGGAAATGGAAGAAAACGTTGGTTTCTTTTTTTTTTTTTTTTAGCTCATTAATCTTACAGCTAAAAATGGTCTAGTTTTTTAAATTTCAAAATTGGAAAGAAAGGGATTTCTAAGATAAACATGTTGCAATTCCTCTTTCTCCCCCTCTGCCATGCAGGGTTTTACTCAAAATGTTACTGTACCTTGAACTAGAGTTAAAATATTCAGTCCAAGGTCTGCGCTCACACTGTTTTTTTAAGTTAAACCTTGAAAATGGTAACCTCTGTAAGCAAAACTATTTATGCATTTATACTATATAGAAGCAGAACCTAATATTCAATAATGTGCAGAGCATGATGGTTGCCTTTAGGTCATTATAATCTTATTGAGTGACATAACACAGCAAGAAATGATAACAGTTGTTTGAAGTAATACATGAAAAAGATTAGCATAGACAGATAGATAGCTGTGAAAAAGGATAGCATAGTACCACTGTGGAATGTCTGCATTTTTGCAATACATTTTTTTTGCATTTTGAATGAAACTCAGAAATACCAAAGTTCTTGCAAAGCACTGGAAACCATGCATCCAAATTGATTTCCAGAGAAGTACAGGGAAACTTGTTAAAGATCAGAGTTCTAGAGTAATATAGTAATTAAAACTTTTGATATTTGCAAAGTTCTAGTTTAATCTCAGAACTCTTTAAACTCCAAAATAAATTGTCATTTGAGACATAACTTCAATCATTTTTGCTTTACTAAATCTTACCTGAATTAATCAGTAATACAAAAAACTATCCAAGTTTAAATCTAGGCAGGTTTTCCCTGTGCACAAGAACAGAATATGGGGTAACACCTTACAGAAATAAAAGTTTGCCACTGCAGTCTCACTTACCTTTGCAGAATTTGGCAGTAACTGACATAAAAACAACTGATGCAAATAAGACCCAAGTCAGATACAAGATCACACTGCCCCCCTTAAAAGCTTCTTTCCATGGTTGTGGAAAGCAGCCCAATCCCAATAACATTGACAATACTAAGAGCATCCCTGTAGTGGGATACCAGTGTGCTCCTACTAAATTGTTCTAGATTTCAATGCAATTTAGTATACTAAATAACTCCCTACAGACAAAAAAAAAAAAAAAAAAAAAAAAAAAAAAAAAGAGGGGGTGGACCAAACCATTAATTTGAAGAAAACACCAAAGTTTAAGTGATTTCAAAAATATCCTTGCATAAAGTTGTTTTAGAAAAAAGCCACACACCACTCTGGCTGCTTCTAATTAACGCGATTGATATTGATATATAGATATTTTTAAAATACACTTTAAATTCAGGACTTGACCTAAGTTGCCATACTTTCTCTGGAGAGTTTTTTTTTTTAATCAAGCATTAAAGGAACAAGCACCATTCCACTTAAAATAATCCCTGCATGAGGAAGAGGTTTCTCAAAGGAAAGACTAAAAAGAGAGCTCTATTCTTGTCATGTACAGGGCCTTGGTGTGACTTATTCCTGTTTAAATAAAATGCTTTTTGTTCCCTTTTCTCTGAAACCACATCCTCTGTGGCAGTTGAGCAGAATCTGATATAACCGTAGGCCAGCTCAGATTAGTTAATCACAGGTCTGTCTTGTATGATATTACACACCAGAGGTGAAACCCTGGCCTTAATAAAGTCAATGAGAGCTTTGCCATTGACTTCAGTGGAGTCATGGTTTCATCCAGAACATTCTCACACATATTGAATTATATCAGGGACACAAGGGTCCTTTGATTCAGTACAGAATGAACTAATTACCTCAGACCCACAGGAGAAAGAAAAAAAAAGAAAAATCAAAAGACTATGAAGTGGCTGGCAAGGCCAGGGGCTGCTTAGATCATGCCATTTGCACGGAATGAAATTGCAAAACAGGTTTTAATTTCTGAAAACCATATTTCAGGATAAAACAAATACAAGGCAATTACCTGAGCCCTTGGACATGAACCAGAAAAGTAAAAATCCTTGGAGGGATTTGTTTGTATGGGCAGTACTTCAAAACCGGCACAAGATGGCAAAGTATTTCTGGGCTATGGTAAGCATCACGCTATAGCTCCTTCAGGTGAGGTATTGTCATATTTCATGTATATGAGATGGTTTTTTGCTCTGCCTTGCAGCTCAGATGATAGATAGGTTTGCTTCTGAAATACTGGATGCACATTTATAGCACCTTTCATCTCAGCATGTCTCATGCCAGCAGGGGCCAGGGGGCCTGACAGAGGTAGAACAGAACAGCAGCAGGTGTAAATCAGTGCAGCCTGAAACTGCTGATTAACTTCAGCTGCAGAGCTGACCCTTGTCTTCCTTGCTGCTGATGACTCACCACTCAGTCTCAGATTTTGTTCCTTCTACAAGAGGTCAATTGTTTGTGCTTTAGCGGGAGGACAGTGCGATTGAGCATCTTCAGCTTATTTGCTGGATACATAGGGAACAACAGCATCACAGTCCCAGGGACTGAGCTTCAAACCGGCATAATTGGCTCCTGTTTTGCACCCTTCCACAGCTGAGGCCATCTCACACATCTGCAGTACCACAGTTTCTGTTTCTTCCCCCTCCTGCTCCAGAGGCCAGACACAGCTCCATCTGCAAGCATCCAGCTAGCTGCATCTGGCCCAAAGGGGTCACGTGAAGGGAGATAAACCAGAGCACAGCTCTTCAACCAGTGAGTGTGTGCATGCAGACACATCTGCGCCTTGAAGGACTTTGTGTTTGTGGAGCCCTGTTACCAGAAGGCACATTTCTCTGCTGTGTGTTACTGTTGTGTCTCTACCAGCTGTGCTCCCTCCTTTCCCATACGTCCTTATGCAGGGTCTCAGCACAGCCATGCTCTAGAAAACTGAGCAGCATGAGAGTGTTTTGTTCTATTTCCATAACCCATTCTTCTCTTCTAGGTCCTCAACTGCTACCCCAAATCAGGCCCCCTAAGGTCAAACATACCCAGGTGTCACCAGCCTCATAAGGCACAAGAACTACTAACGCATGGTTTTTGACTCTCAAATATTATCAAAACTGCAATTTCTGTAGACAGTTTAAACTTTCAAGTCTGTCTTTTAGGGAAGGCTCTTCCAAGGGAAGCCATGCATGAATTTGTTATTCATTAGTGAAGCATCCCCAATTGAGCATTTCAGACTGGTAACACCTCTCCATTTTACAGGGTCAGGAGGGTGTAGCTTCAGCTCTGGCAGCCTGTAAGATCCTTAGGGAGATGTCCCACCTGGAGACAAAGACAGAAGTAGCACGTATAATGAAAGAAGCGAAGTATGAGCAGCTCGCTGTTGGTAAGTAAAGGCAGCTATTTAACAGCATCAACAGTTTCCAGAGGCCACTCTGGAAGACAAGCAAGTAGGGGGTAAAAAAACAACAACAAATAACACACACACCAAAACCCTCAAGAAGTTGTAAAAAGCCAACTGTCATGAGTAATTTAACAGACTTGCAACACAGCCAGTCCCAAGTGTTCAAATACCACAGAAGGAGGACTAAAACTCCAGATTCTCATTCTGGAAAAATCAGTGTTCTAAGGCTGACCCCTGGGATGCACGGAAGAAGTATCTCCCTTGCTGCATATTGGTATTTTAAGTGTTTGACCTTACTACAAGGTGTATTACAATGACAGGTAAGATAGAATAACCAGAACACTTCCAGGCTCATAGCAGTCTCGTTGCCCTGCAACATCAACCTCACTCTGTATGGGCCACATAATAGAGCACCAAATTTGAAGGGATATCTTCTCTGCTAAAAATAATTTGAGATTACCTCACCCAAAAGTGGGCTAACTCAACTGCTGAAGTCCGAGCAAGGTTCAGGTTGGCTTAAGAGCTGACAAGCCTCCCCACCCTACAGCAGCCAGCATTCAGGCATCCACAGCACTGGAATGCCAAGCCCTCTCTCCTCAGCTTGGTTTAAAAACAGATATTTGCAGATGAGATTCTCTGCTGTTCTGACATCACCCCAATTTGTACCTGAAGGTAATACTGCTGTGAACAGAGGGCTTTAGAGTACAGTTCATGTAAAAATCCAGAAACTCTTTGCCCTTCGAACTAGCACATCATGCTCCTGAAGCCTCATGCAGACACTGATACATTATTTATACACAGACCACATTTCACGCTCCTTTTACAGGGCCATTACTATTTTTAAAAACTACAGCACTCATATAATCACAGGACTCCAACAATTTAGTCATGGAATTAGAGGGCCTAATCCAATACACAGCAGTCTGTTCCTTGGCTTTCGTAAACATGAGATCAGGTCCTCAATTTCCGTTTCTGGCCCAGATAATACTGTCAATATTATGTAGAGCAAACATTCTTTAAGAATGATAAATACCATACTAACTGCAAAAGAAGTCTGCATATCAGCGTAATTTAAGTGAACTCGATCCTTTCCCCAGCCCTTGCAGTGTAACAACAAGGTGTAGGCTAGCCTAGGAAAAGTGCTGAGATAATCAAGTGAATTAGAATGAGAGACAAAAAGTCAGATTTTGTTTAACGAGAAAACCTTGACTTTCTGTACTATTTATCTGAGTTTCTGAGCTCCAGAACAAGCTTCTCTTGAAATAGATCTATGCCACAACACACTATCAAGTCTAATACTACTTTATGTCAAATATCTATGTCTCAAACAAAGCATTCATTGGCTACGAGTCAAACATGAGCTACTCCTTTTGTTTAGTCTATTCAGGGGAAAGGGAGTAGTGTAGCAACTCATCCTTCAAAGTGTAGGAGGATCTCCTCTGGGATTTGCTTTGGCTCAGTGCTGCCTAAAGCTCCACACAAGGCAGCTACAGATGAGCGATTATAAGACACACTGATGTTTCTAAGACATGTCTGTGATACTGAGAAGGAAATACTTTTCCATAGGAGATCAAAAAACAAAAACAGAGCACCCCAGAGCTGAGAAGGAAGTATGCAGATGGAAAGAAGTGAGGAAGTTCTGAGATTTACTTCATACCATCCTGCAAACAGTGGGAATTTTAAAATTACAATTCCAGTATTTTTTTTTCCTACCAAAGCAAATCCATTACATCTGGCCTCTTCGGAGTTATTCCTGTGTCCAGGATTGTTCCTCTCTCCCACCCACCTCATCTTAGCTCTTGGGCTTTTTAACTATTGCAGCCTTGCAGAACTCTTTAGTGCAACAGACGCACCTGGCAGATGTTGCACACTCCATATATCACCCTCTTGCCTCACATTCATTTTTTGTTTTTAAATGACGAGATCTGTTTGTCTACATTTCCTTCATCTGGCAGAACTGTTCAGTGAATGCTACCGCAACAGCGAGGAGAGAGCATTTGCTCTGTTGGTAAGAAAAAATCAGTACTGGAGCAAAACCACCTGCCTTCAACTGGCTACAGAAGCAGATGCAAAGTCTTTCTTTGCACATGATGGTGTCCAGGTAAGTCCTACAGACACCTCCCCTACCACCAGGGCCTTTAGGCATGATGTTGGTCACAAAAGAGAATAGTACAACAACCAAATGGCCCCATGAAACATGTTCAGATCAGAGACATTCTTTGGAGAGAGAACTCTTCACTCTCCCTGGCACTGGATGAAGAGGATGTCATGCTACATATCTGGCAAAGCAACACTGTTGTCCCTTTTATCCAGTTAGCCTCCAGACCAATGCACTGAAGACACTGTTTAGCCCTCATTCATCCGGTACTTTTTCCTCTATTGCTCAGAGAAAACCATCAGGAAAGCACTTAAAATCTGCCTGAGGCACAATGAAGCTGCTCAAGGACATGAGGTAGCTCCTTAACAGAACTTGTTCAGATTCAGAGAAGCTCACTGATAAAAGTTAAATCAAATTACTGTTCAGTTTCACCCCCACAACCTGAGTTCTATCCACATACACAAAACTAAATTAAGAGTGATGGTGCTTTTAGCTCCCAGTGGCTGACTTTCACTTCCTCAGCAGTACAGATGTTCTTTTATTGCACTTGAATTACAGTTCTTTCCACTGTTCTCTCATAACTCTTGGCATACTAAAAAACAACTGCAGAAGGACATGCAAAGTACCCATATGCTCTGAAGGTGTGCCTACTCTTAAGGTCTTCAGAGCATTGACTAACCTTTGCTTGTCTTAGGAGCCACAGAACGTAGATGCACTTACATTTTTATGATGCCAAAGCCATCTCTTGTTTTCTTGCATTTCAGGCCTTCCTGACAAAAATATGGTGGGGTGACATGTCTACAAGCACACAGATCCTGAAATTAATCTGTGGATTCTGGTGTCCTTTCCTAATCTACACAAATTTAATAGCATTCAGGTAAAAACAAGTATTTGAATGCAAGAGAAAAGTAAAGGAAGTCATGAAAAAAAAATCCAAACTGAAAATTTCTTATGGATAAATACAGTAATATCGCCTCAGAAGGTTAACAAAAGGAGTGCACCACTCTTGACCAAATTAGTTTGCTATGGGACTGAGTGATTTGTATGTACTGGGCTAGTGCTGTGTTTATTCTAATACATCAAAAGCCAATATCAATTTCACCTAGATCACTTTTTGTACAGTCCACAGAAAAGCCTGTTGGGATTCTGTCAGTTCCACTTGAATGTTCAGCATATACAGTAACGCGTAGCATATAGAGGATATCTCCAGATATAGCACTATTTCTAGATGTGAGGATGCCTGGTTCAAACCTCAGTATCTTAGCAGTAAAAACAACCATCACAAAGCAGAACTAGCAGCCACAAGCCTTGGGAACCAAAAGTCAAGCTTAAAACCACAGGACTCATATGAAACCAATTAAGACTTTCTAATTTAACATCTTGGGAGATCTTTGTAGTATTCTGCAGGCACAGCTTTGGAGGTCATAGTTATGAGCTTTTTGTCACAGCGAAGAGTCTAGGATCTTAGGCTTTCTTCAAAGAAAAAATAAAATCACCAAAGGAAACCAAGCAAAACAGAAAAGAAAAAAGTAGCCATGATGTTCAGACACAGTCATAAGAATCTAAGAACTGAAACTTTGGGAAAACCTCCAAGTATTGTGAGAATCAGAGATAGAAATCATCAGAACTGACATTACGGAATGACCTGCTATTAAGAAATACATATGCTTAACTGTTAAACTACTTATACAGAAAGAGGAAAGCTTGTTTGCCATTCCTGACCTAAGACTTCCATTCTGCTAGTGTCTCTAAAGATTTTTTTTTTTTCCTATGAATAGTGGTTATCAGCTTCACAAATCCAAGTAATTTAATGTGAAACATTGGCCAAGTTTTCATAGAAGGGCTTAAATTATAGAATGGCTAGGGCTGGAAGGAACCTTGAAAAATCACCTAGTTCTAACCCCCCTGCCACAGTTAGGGATGCCACCCACTAGATCAGGCTGCCCAACAATTCTTATTCAAAGGAAGCCTTTCCAAATTTGTTCTGTTGAGGACATTTCTCCTTTCCCTGGAAATGCAAGAGTTGACACACATACCCCAATGCTTCCTGGCATTTCCTGTCTTAAGTGCTAGTGAGAGCATCCAGGAATGGATGTGAGAGCATGGGGGTACTGTCTTCTAGGACTGATTGAGGTGTCTATTTCTGCTCAAATTCTTTCCTAATTATTTTGAGGAAACTGAGCATCTTGCTCTGTTTGTTTTGGAACACGTGTTGATTATCATTTCTCCTTTGAATCTTGTGGCTGACTTCAGCTTTCAAATACAAAGAAATTGCAGAGCTAAGGTTTATGCATATCTGATAGCTTTTCTGCAGAGCAAGTCCCAAATAAGTATATGCAAACAGTTCTGTAGGAATGCCAGTTTGGTAGCGAAGAATTGCTAACCACTGTCTTTTAACTAATGAGTTTGTTTCCTTACAGTGAGGAAAAACAGTCAAAGAAAGAACCAGAGCCACCTAGAGAGCTGGACAGTTCAGATACAGAAAAGACTTTGTTTCTTTCTAAGGAAGAATATAGGTAAGTTTAAAACCATCGGTTAACACAATTTTTATGACTACAAAAACAGGACACTTCTTGTGATTAGTGACCAGCTAATGATCCTAAGGAGCAGCTGAACAGCCAAGAAAGTCATTATTCCTCAAAAAGTGCTGCTCCCTCTGATTGCTGTTGTTGTTACTCTGTAAAAGGAATACAGAATATAAACGGGATATAGCACCATATCTAAGGAGACAACTTTATACCTCATGAGCAGGCCATTTTTACAGAACAAAGTATCTGGTCAATACCTGGGGAATCAGAAGGCATTTCCTGAGATTCCCTTCAGCCAGCAATAGCTGAAGTACATCAGATTTAGGAACTACAATCCCCATTAAGACTACTGAGTTCAGCAGAACAAAGGTTCTCAGCTAACTCTTGCATAACTCTAATGCATCACTGCATACTTTCCTACAAAGGCGGCAACAGAAATACTTGCAAACAGCAGTACCTGGGAATTTACGTAGTCAGCTTCACGCTATACTAGTCCTCTTCATTTATATTTAAAGAAAAAACAAAACTGGCCCTGAGGAACCTGAACTAAAAAAATGGACTTATGTTCTAGAGAAAGCATTACAGAAATGGGGAACTAAGCACAAAGATTTTGGCAGTTGGTCATGGGCTCTCACACAGCCACAATTCAGAACTTCTGATCCCCACCCTATCCTTCAACCTCCTTAGCAAAACCTGGAAGGCCATAAGGACTTAAGTCAGGACAGGAGAACTTTTGATTAATACACAGTTCACTTAATAGCTAACAGAAGCTAAATATCTGCTTATATTTAACATGTGCTTTTCAGTTGTTTGAAGAAAGCTTCAGAAATATGTGGACATTGTTACCAATGAAACACAGTCCACAGTATGTAGTGCTGGACCAAGTCAGAATGAGCCTCTGTTTTTAGCTCTGGCATTTAACTGCTGGTATATTGAAGAAAACCATGACTTTTTGCTTCCTCTCTAACCTGCAAAATAGGTGTAAAAACGTCTGCCTCTTGAGGACTATTTGTAAGTAATGTCATAAAGTCCTTTCATATCCTGAGTGAGGCATGGTTTATGACTCTTGGTCATTATGTTGTGCGTTCCAATTGCTATTATCTTAGAGATTTAATTTAACAAAGGGACTCTCTCCCTCCCAGAGTTGTTTCAGCATCTGAGCATCTTACAGTAAAGCTGCAATTATCTGTTTATGATATTAGCCTGTTACCATGGGAATGTCTCTTACAAGCAAGAGGTAGGGTAGAATCAGGCACGCAGAAAAGACTGGAGATGAGAAACTTTTCCTTATAACGAGTATATTTAATAATTAGCAAGAATGTCAGGGGAAATTAAAGACTACTGAAGAGTCATTGTTTGCCTTTTTTTTTAGGGGGGGGGGGGGAGGGAGAGGAGTGGGAGGGGTGGAGAGCATACTCTAGCATGCACATCCTTTATTAGGAATCATTCCTCTCAGAATCAGAAAACTAAAGGATCCAATAAAATCACTAACTTACAGAGGTGAGCAATTTATTTGGAAACAAAACCTCATGCTAAGATCAGATCAGATTGCTGCCAAACACAAGGAACTCGCATTTTCTGCACAGGATAATTTCCATTGCCAGTAGATAACACTTCATATTTGAAAACACTGCAAAAACAACAGTAGATGTACAGGTCAAATTTCCCTTTGGTTACCAAAATACACGTGCAACTCCACAAGAGTCAAAGCCTACCTTTATGAATAATTTATGAGCTCAGCTTTTTTTTTTTTTTTTTTTTTTTTTTTTACTGAGAGGCTTCTTTGGTGATCCTTTTGCAATTTGATTTAATCATCGGGGCAAGATGCCAGTGTGCACAGTTACGTAAACTGCAGTATTCCTTCAGTAGCTCTCGTAGACTCCATCAAGGGTAGTCAAGAAACACATTTAGCGTGATTCAGCACTTTTGAGTCTAGGTCAAAAAGAATAATCATCTCAAGTAGCCACAGCAATGACAACTTCTGCATGTGACCGTTACAAAAAACTTTTATGACCAAAATAAGATCTGACTTGCAAACTTACACTAGCTATTTGCTTTTCTTACCTATCGTTTTGGATGATGAAGACCAACTAGCAAAATTCTCCTTCTTCCTGAGAATTTGCACAATGTTCATACTACATGTAGTATGCATCTTTGTTTTTCAAAGCCTTCTCTTTGATTTCTGCTATGGTAACATGATTGCTCTGATTTCCACAGCTTTCCTCCTTCCTCTACCAGCATCTGCCTGTTACTGTCTTAAAAGAAGCTTTATATAGAATAATACTGAGTCTATTCCCATGAACTTATTTTAGGAAATTGTCACCAAGCCTATATTCTTTTTGTTTTGCAGAGGAAATGGTAAATTAGAAAAGCAGAACCCTTCTGAAAACACAGCGTGGGCAACATTCTTGTTTACTCGGTGGAAAAAATTCTGGAGTGCCCCTGTAACTGTATTTATGGGAAATGTTATAATGTACTTTGCTTTCCTGTTTCTGTTTACTTATGTCCTTTTACTGGATTTTAAACCACCTCCACCTGAGGGTCCATCTGTTAAAGAAATTATACTTTACTTCTGGGTTTTTACCCTGGTCTTAGAAGAAATCCGACAGGTCAGTAACATTCAACATCACAGCAGCAATGCAATAAACCTTGAGATAATATTTTGAATAGATTTATAAACCGCATGAACTGTGCAAACTTGAAGATTTCAACTCTCATGTGCAGGTTTGCACAGAAAAGAAATACAAATCTTACCTTATTCAAAACACTCCACCTCTCCCTCCCAAAGCACCTTTTCCCTGCACCTTATAAGCCTGTAGCTCCACCTTTGTTTTTCTAGCTTGCTCCAGCTGTAGCCAATAGCCAAGTGGGCTGCTAAGACTCAGGCGTCCTTCACTTCATGAAGTATCTGTCTGTTTTCAGTCCCCAGAACTAGGACTTCCCACCACAGTTAACATAAATTGGAAGTTACAGGCTGCACTTGGAAGTGCAGCAGATACATCGACAACATAATCAAAGATTTCTACCCTGCTGGGGACTGTTTAAAAAAAAAAAAAAAAAAAAGATTTAATGAATTCAGATTACTTCTGTTTGTTTGAAAATATTTATACATTCAAAACATTAGCAGATCTTTTTTTGTTTTGCTTTTCCTGATTAAGAAAACATAGAGACTTCACTAATCCCCCAATTATTGTTCTTGGAATATCTTCAGTTCAACAACTGAAATAATGCATGCTAGCATGTTGCCAACTGTGGATGCATAAAACTGTCCTCTTCAGACTAAAACCAGATATAAACACATATTCTGAAAGAACAAATAGACGCTTGTTATTTAAGCGATGGGGATGGTGAAGGAGATCCCCTTTGTTGCAAGTTATTTGAAATTATTCGGAAAGGGCATAAACATAAAAGCACAGGGAGAATATTTGGATCAAAGAATATTTCATTATAAACCTGTAAATGGAGTGCTAGGCTGAAAGCCAATTAAGACAGCTCTTTGCCTAGATAATCAAATGTGCACTCACAATTACAGTGTACAAATGCCAAATCTGTACATGCTGTTTAAATAGCTGCACCTAGAAATTGAACATTGACCACAAATCTGTTACATTCTTTAAGTCTGAATGCTCACATCTTGAATCAGACCCTATTAAAATATCACAAGATTAAGAAGGTTGTACTTTTCTTTTTTGTGTGTGTTTTAAGACAGTAAACTGAGCTTATGTTTTCAAGCTTTTTTTTTTTTTTTCCTATTACACTAGGAAGTTTTTGCTTTTTGCAATGAAAGACAAAAGGGAAACAGGAATAACGTTAAAACTCACAATGAAATAGTGAAACTTTAAACAGATCAGTGCTGATGGTCGTTTCTCTTTTTCAGAGTTTCTTTACAGATGAAGACACAAATTTAATGAAGAAATTCAAACTGTATTTAGAGGATAACTGGAATAAATGTGATATGGTGACCATCTTCCTTTTCATAATTGGGGTAACCTGCAGGTATATACATCTGTTTTATGTGATGTGGTCAGCTTCAGGAGCTTGGGCTGCGTATGCCAGTTGACAGGAGAGTCTCACGTGCGTGTGAGGTCAGGGTATGATATTTACAAATTTTGAAAAAAGTTTCTGCAATAAAAGCCTCTACATTTCTGTTGAAGATGTTGCTGCAGAGACCACAAAAGACATATTGCTATTTTCAAACACTTGTACAGAGAAGCTCTCCTTCTCATTTTTTTTGCATTTGCCTTTAGTCACTTTAATCACTTTTTTGCTATGTTTGTTTTGTTTTAATGTCTCATTTCAGCTGAGACAGAGAAGTTGGTGTCTCTGCATCTTTGGGTTACTTCTCACCAATGTACAGATGTTACATTACATTTTTCTTACAGCTGTAATGACTGACATATGCAACCACAACCCTGAAGCACTTGCCTTTTCCTAACTAGACTATGCCTGAAAACCAAGTGTAACATTTGAGAAAAGACTTCTCAGCAGTTCTTGCTTAGATCTGGTATTTTGTTTCATTTGTTCTTCAGGATGCTGAATTCAACTTTTCAAGCTGGCCGCACGATACTTGCCATTGATTTTATGGTGTTTACCCTTAGACTTATACACATTTTTGCAATTCACAAACAGCTTGGACCAAAAATCATAATTGTGGAAAGGATGGTAAGTGTGCAGCCTCTCTCAGATAAATACTTGTACTGTGTAAACATGGAGAACAGGAAATCTCCTTACAAAGGAAATCAGTTTATAATGCGTCTTTATATTTTTAAGGCCTTTCATTTTGCGTATATTGCTTTATTTATCAAGAAAATTAGATGCAGTGAGTTTCAAACAGATCCATCCAGAGAGCTCTGTAGTGTATTAAGTTAGCCTCAATTTACTAATCCTTGTACTTTAGCTAATCACTTACCCTTTGGTCTGGCAAATCAGTGGTAGTGTCTGTGTCTTACACACTGCTCTTACTCCTATTTCATAAACTGTGCATTTGGAACAAAGACCTCAGACAGACAACAAGCCATTTACAGAAGGGCAGGGCATTTACTGAATGGCCATGCTGTGCTTTGGGAAATAGTTGACATTATTTGCAAGAAGTGTGAAAAGAAATCTGAGAAAACTGATAGTTGCAAGTTTCCCACGGGAGTTGTTCTTACTTGTACTGTGTAACTCTAAGCTACAATGAAAACAGCACCTTGTAAGCATATGTTGGAAGATGCTGATGAAAGATTTTTATTTATTACCACTCTCCTGCAGGAAATGAGACATTAGGACTATATTTACTGTGCTTGGGTATAGGTTGGAACTTTGAAACAGCTTTTTATTTAGGCATGTTAATCCTCTAGGCCAATTAGTGCAAGGTAACTGATTAATAGGAGTTCATCTAATTGTAAATGCTATCATAGATTCTACAAATATTTGACTTGTGACTCAAAGCAGAGCTCAGTAAAAGCTCTACAGTCTAAACAAGCCTATACATTGAATAAACGTAACTACCAAGCTATTTAGATCTGTCTACAAATGCAGTAACTGAAACTCTAACATGACATTTGCTTTGAGTAGCAAAAGGGTAAATGGCAAATAAATATTTGTTCTTGCACATTATCTAGTTTACAGCATTAGCAGACTTCTACTGTAAGAGAACCAGGCAGATCTACAGCTCCCAACTCTTCCTGGCAGCATACCAAAGTAAACCAGGGCCCAGAACAAATATGGTGATATGTCTACTATGTTAGCATCTGAAGTCATATGAGATAACACATGGATTAAGAAGATGCAAATAAGAACATAAACAGTAGCCTAGACAAAACTGTAAAACGGGACCTTTCATCTTCCCCTCATCCAAGCCAACACAATACTTTAGCTTCAGTAGTTCAGCGTTGAGCCTTACATCAAGGGAAAGAACAGTGAAATTGACTTCAGTAAACAGCATCTTATTGAAAGGTTCATCTGGTGGGTTTAAGCAAGATCATTTCCCTTAAATAGGGAAGTAAACCAAGATTGTGTCTTACCGTCTTTCTCCTTTTTAACCTTGATACAGAATTGCTGAGATAAGTCTCATAGCTGTTAAAATGGCAGTTCAATGCCAGTTTACGAGGAGACAGACTGCAGTCAAGAAAAAATATTTCCAGACATACTGTTGCTTTCTGTTAACTGTGACACTACTGCAGTCCTGCAGTACTGACAAACTTGAAATCATCCAGAAAACAAAATAGATGGGTGGAAGTCAGAGAGACATGAACTATGTCTTGCCTGCCTTAGATACTATAATTCTTAATGGAACTTGTAGTAACCTCCTGGAGGTCTGAAATGCCTATGCTTTTAGGTACTGTGCAACCCTATTATCTAATTGAAATGAATCTACAGTCCCTAATGAACTCTGTCAGATTAGATGGGAAGAGGATGAAGTGTTCCTCTTCCACCAGGGAAAAATTACTGCATTTGAAATCCATATTCAATGTTTAAAAGTAAGTGTTTCTGGATTCGATTACTTCTGCTTCTGTAGAGAAATACAATGTTTAAAAGCAGGAAGTCTTGAAAAGAATCTCTCAAATGCATTACTTAACTTGAAAACCCAAGACAGGAGCTACCCAATCCTTGCAGTCTTCAATGTCTGCCCTATCCATGGTTCAGAATTCATTAATGAGTGCTGTCATCCAGGATTGACTGCTGCTGCAGACTTCTTGTAATTCACAGCTAAACAGTCAATGGTACTGTGAGATCTCACAGAAAATCTGCATTTAAAACAGATTACTTTAAAAGATAAAATGTTTCATTTTTAAACAGTAATCAATTGAAAAGCAAGGTTTTAATTTAAAATATGCCCTTATCTAAACTAGCTAACAAACAAAAATGCTGGTTATGGACCAGAAGCAATGGGGTAACAGCAAGGTCAAGAGAGAAATCCTGTGCATGAAACTGTATTCCACCTCCTTTAACCTAAACAAGCTTGTAAAGAAACAATTACTTGAACAGTTTTCATACCAAGCTACTGTTCTTTGATTATGCTATCAGTCATTTGTCCTCCTTTTCTCCCTCCCCTTTTCTCTTTTAGATGAAGGATGTTTTCTTCTTTCTGTTTTTCTTGAGTGTATGGCTCATTGCCTATGGTGTGACAACTCAAGCTCTGCTTCATCCTGATGACAATCGAGTGGAGTGGATATTCAGAAGAGTGCTTTATCGTCCCTACCTTCAGATATTTGGCCAGATTCCACTGGACGAAATAGACAGTGAGAAAACTTCCCCTAACTTTACCATTTTTGAGTGCACACTTCCCTAGCCAAAGCTTTCACGTCACTATGATATAAATAGTGCATTTGCAAATGGAGATAATGTACAGTGTGAAATTATATTAGAACATGAGAATTGGCCCTGTTTAGAGAAGCTGTCTACAATATTCGCACAAGGATTTGCAGTTGAAAAAGGTTGGCATACCTTCTTTCACTTCAATCCATTTCTGCTCAGCTTAACCTAGATCCAGATAACCCTTGTGTAAACTGTAATAACGACATCTCCATATATTTTGGCAGTTGTTTAATATGACAGCTTTACAGCAGTACTGCTCTGTCCATAAGCAAACACTTGTGTTTTAGAATAAATATTTCTCTGGAGCATTTATTTACTCTGGAGTTAAAGTTGCCCCAATCAAATAAAGCTAGTAATTGTATTTGTGCTACATTTCAAACAAAACAACATAAAAATACTCAGAATACATGGAAATGTTTGGACATAAAGGTTTACAGGCCATATTTCTGATAGAGAAGCAGGTAAAATACAGAATAGGTCATCTCCCAAAGAAGTCTGATGTAGTGTCACAGAATTTAGCCAGAATAACAGTTCTGAATGTTAGTGACAGTACTGAAATGGGATTTACACTTGAAGTAATATAGATGAAACCAAAAAATCCCATAGGCAGCAAACTAGAAAGCATTCTTTCATATTCACCCTGCTTAATAAGAAAAGGCATATGCCTTAGAAAACTGAAGTCTGAATGAGGCAAGAGAGCAGGGGTATGATTCATCTCACTTAGCTTTAAATGCCTACAGTTTAAGCATCCACAGCACAAGTCACTCTTACTCCCACTAAAGTAACTGGTAAGAAAAAATATTTCTGGAATAGGATTAATCTCATTTGAAAATAGGTCAGATAAAATATCCCCTAGAAGTGTCTGTTTCTTCCCATTGGGGGTCCAAAAGGTGTCTTCATATACATAAATAACAGATTAGATGGAAGGGAAAAAAAATATTACACGGACAAATTCCAGAAGGGAATCACTTGTACTGGGATGTTCTTGACCTTACTCAGTTTCTTTATAAAACATATGGAGAAGGAAATGGTTAATGAAGGCAGCAATATTTTCTGATGAAACAAAGTTACTGGGTAGTAAAGACTAAAGCTGACACCTAAGAGTTGCAGAAGACCCTCCTGAGAGATGAAGCATCAATTGAAATTCAGTGTAGATAAATATAAGGTAATGTGCCTGGTGACAGCTGTAGTGACTTTTCAGATAACTCTTTGCATTAACAAATAAGATCACAGCATTACCTGTGACTGTGGGGAAAGGCATTATTGGTGAAAAACTGGAGAACAAACAAGCAAGTATGGCTACTTTAAATCTGTAGATTTAATTCATTACATGATAGAACTTCCTGAAAAACAAAACAAAACCAAAAAAAACCCAAACACCTATGATTCTTAAGCCCAGTGTAAGAAGACTTAGATGAATGATATGAATATAACCAATATAGAGTAGTTATCTTTTCCTCCATAAGTTTTAAATGATTTCAAATGAAACAAGCAAAAGGAGATTTTTTTTTTTTTACATACATAACTGTCAGCCATTTAATTGCTGTATGATGCTTCGAATGCTAAAACTGTGCATAGACTGAGAAGCCAGTTGGAGAAATTAATCAGTTTTTATTTGCCCTGAAATTGCTATAAAATTCAGTGTCTTAAACTTCAGGAATAATTTGTAATTCCTGCCCTTTTCTGTTGAACGTAAGAAATTTTCCTCACCAAAACGCAAAACTTTTGTCTCCACTCTAAGAAATACGTGTGGCAGGATTTGTCACAACTATATTTCTCTACCTCTCTTTGCAGCATCACGAGTGTTTCCCCGGAACTGTACGCTTAATCCATTGCAGATTCTGCAGGACAACTCACCATCATGTCCTAACAACTACGCCAACTGGCTTGTCATACTTCTGCTGGTTATCTTCCTACTAGTCACAAACGTTCTCCTTATGAACCTCCTGATTGCTATGTTCAGGTAAGAGTGATTTCAGCAGGTTTCAAACAGAGATGGCAAAAGTTCAACTGAATGCCAGAGTTTACTACATTGCTGTTGGCTACTCATTTTGGAATACACTAACAGTTTTCCTAATATTATTTGGGGGTTGATAGGTAGACTTTTATGATCATATAGTTGTCATTATCTTTACTCTAGCCACATTAAAGACAAGAAGAAGCATCTTCTACTGTAAAAAAAAATCAATTAAACATGCATAGAAGGGTGTGGATCCCTGGCTGTGCTGCAGGAGAAGTCCACAGGTGCAAAACAGCTGTAAACTTGGCAGAATTAACAGCGGATAATCTGCACAAAGGGGAAACTCTTAATGTCAACATGATTAATGATGATTGGTTTGGTTGAAGAACTGACATGGCATGTTTGCCAATCTTGATGGAGTGAATTGGAATTACCTTTCTTTAAAAAAAAAAATACACTAGTATTTCTTTAACATTTGAAGACTGCAACTGCTATTATTTTAATATCTAAAAAAATGCACAATCTTTAGTTTAAATTAACACTACTTGCTGACCTTCCTGCTCTTTTATTAAAGGAAACTTGGGGCTGTATTTTGTATTTGTAATGATAAGCTTGTTGAGATAAAAACTGTAATTTTTTCTTTACAGTTACACTTTTCAAGTTGTTCAGGGCAATGCAGACATCTTCTGGAAGCTTCAGCGCTACAATCTGATTGTTGAATATCACGGACGGCCTGCCTTAGCACCACCATTTATCATTATTAACCACATAACTCTGGTTCTCAGAATAATCTTCAACAAAAAGGAACATAAAAAAGAACATCTGGGTAAGTAGCTAACAAATGTCTATTAACTGGAGACCCTGATGCTGTTTCAAAGGTATGCTGCATAAGCCAAACAGAGGAGCAAGTAAGATTTTCATAAGCTAAGAGCCATAATTGATTATCTTTAACAAAAAGTGCCAGGAGAATACACATGACAAATTAATGTTTATAACATAGCCTGTACTATAAAGTTTCCCACAATGTCTTTCTTTGTGCAACATAGTTATGATACAGAACTGGTTGAAGGGATTTGATTTCTGAAGAAAAAAATGTATAGTTTGAATAAATTATAACCATTTATTTGATCTGCTCTTAAATTTTAGTAATTAAAAACGGACAACCCTGAAAGTGCATATGAAGTCTGAAATCTGCTGGGTTCAGTAGAATTTCCCAATGCACAGATTACAGAGAGAGAAAGAATACATTTAGAGAAATGATCATCCCCTTAAAAGTTGTCATTAAAAAGGAGGATGAAGTTTAATTAATAACAGAAGGCATTTAGAAGCTTCCTATAGTGACTGCAAACTTGGTATATATAGTTTAATGGTGTCTGATAACAAGCCTATTTCCTCCTCATGCACAGACTGATAATGGGCTTTGGAGCAGAATTGATGTTCAGAGCCCTTAGACTAAGCTTCCTGTCACACACACACCTTCTGGCTATTAAGGCGCATGCACTGCTGAAGCTTCTTCCCCTCCAAGAAAGCAAGTACCTGCCTGATCAGGGTCTAACCTTGGTAGTATTCGGAGCACGCAGCAAATGTGCTCTTGTGCTCTTTTAACAGACTTTAGGAAGATACATAACTGGTATGTTCAAGTTATCTCTGAAACTGAGCTCTTCTGTTGGCTGGGCCACTTGGTTTGCTTTGTAAGATGACAACAACAGCCAACAGATCTACACTTTAAGGTGGAGGGATTTTTCACAGTTCTTTCCTATTTATAATTGTTCTAATAAAGAAGCTTAGATGATAAAGTGCATCTGAATGTAAAGCTTTGCTCATTAAACAGTATGTGAGAAGTCCAGTAATGTCCTAAATGAGTTTAAATGGAATCACTGAAATTGGCCTGTGCTATTCTTCAGAAAACTCAGGACCCTTATCCAGCTGCAAAAGGTCTATCACCTTCCATCACAAGAAAAAAAAAATGTAGAAAATACTTATTTTACAATAAATCTTCATAGCCTGTCACTCCTGCAATGGCAAAGCAATACTTGATTTTTCTTTAATTTAGCAGCCTTTCATTACATAAATTACTATAGGGAAAAAGGGAGCAAAATACAGTTCTTAATATCTTTTTTCCCCCCTATAGAAAGAGATCTTCCAGTTGGCCTAGATCAAAAAATCATAACCTGGGAGCTGGTACAAAAAGAAAATTATCTTGTAAACCTTGAACAAGAAAGGAAAGAAAGCAATGAAGAAAGGCTGAAGGCCACATCTAACAAGTATGTTATTATGAACCATATTAAGTGAACCTTTCAGGTCTTCAAATTTGCATGAGACAAATATTCGGGTACTGTAACACTTATATGAGGAGACCAACTGGAACGCAGTTCTTCATTGCATGAAAAACATGACAAGGCAGCATCACTTCAATAATGAGAAGAGTCTTTCACATTCCTGAAGTATGTACAATTACAGACCTGTAAGCTCCAGGCAAACTTGCAGTCAAGCTCAAATGAAAATCATATTCATAAAGAAATGATGGAAGAACAGTTCTTTTACTGTACTGCAGAGCATGTACTTCCATCCCCTGTAGGAATACAGCAGTACTGGAAACAAAACATTGATCAAAATCCTGTGAAATTGTTGTTTCCAAAACAGAAAGAGGTTTAGACTTTTGAATGAAAGTTTAAAATCTCTGGAATTATCCCCAGCCTGCAAATACAGGAGAAGTACTATTTATGGCTTTATGACATAAGACTAATGTTTTGCACAAGAAATTCCTGGTATGAACTCTGGAATTAGATTTTATTAACTGGATCTCCATTTCAATATTTCTCTAGAATATCTTCCCAATAGGAATATCACCTAAATTGGTTTAGTATTCTGATGAATTAAAATACAAAATTATTACTTGGAAGTTTACTCCTTTAAGTGAGACACAAGATAGATACATACAGGGAAAACTAAAACATCTAAGACAACACGAGAAGCCACACAGCAAAGCCTTCTTTGAATAAGCTTTTAACACCTGGTTCAAGTGTTTCGTCTTACAGTAAATCTGATTTCAAATGGAGTCACAGTGGGTGTGAAAGTTGTTACAAAGTTCTGCTGTAATCTTCTTGTGCTGTGTTTTCTTTCTGTGCTTTGCCTTTCAAAACATTCATCTAATTCATAATAGCTGGAGTCCAGACCAGCCCACTTGAGTATATTATTGGGAAATACTCTTCTCCCTCTAATCTAACAGACTCTAAATTCATAATAATTTAGATTATTTGGTTTTAACTTTATGCTCATACACAAGTCACTGACAAAATACAGGATTTTGGCCCTAAGAATAAGCAAGAGCTTAATTGCCCAGGTCAAACAATAAATAAGCATGTAATTGTTTCTAAACAAAGGGCATGATTTCAGATATAGCAGAGACTGAAAGAGGTTCAGATGACCACCACTAATCTTATTTCTCAGGTGTCAGCAAACTTACTTGTGTATTTGAAATCTTACAGAACCCTCCAAAAGCTATTCACTGAACTCTGCAGTAAACCAATTCCAAAATACATTAGATACACCCAGCAAAACAGCCTTTTCTCATAGACCTGAGTGCAACATGACTTGTTAAAGGGAAAATTTTAAATAGTAGTTAGGACAAAGCAGAGAGGGATTTAAGGAGTCTTTGGGGAACTGGATGCTAGGAATAAGAAACTGATGGGAGAAGAGGTAAATTATGTAGAAGATGGGTGAATAATTTGATTTGGAGGGACCATATTCAAGTTCTCTACATGGTCCCTTTGGACTGCGTGGAAAAAGGGATTTGAACATCAAATCAGTGTCTGAAAATGAAACCTTAAATACATCAAGTGGCTCATCAGCCCTGTGTTAATGGAATAAATATTATGGCATAAATTTTCATGCTAGAATCAGTTTACATTTGGCGTGGATGGACTAATAAAGGACTAGAAAGACAGAGCTGGACCTATGGCTCTTTACTGCAGTCCTTAATTTCCACATCAGAGGGGACTGAGCGGCTGCTTTAATCTGTATGAGTTTATGAGGAGCCCTTGGGCAGTATGCATGGGAGAGGTATGACTGAAATGCTGCTCTTTTCAGTAAATACTTACAGGAACCCTTGAAAAAGACAGAACTTTTAGGGGGCTCCAGGATATCCCAGCAGCACAGAACTGCAAGCAAGGGGTCAAAGACATAGTAAGTTACTCGTTTTTTGTGGTTTAGGATTTCATCTGAGGCCTCTCCTTTTCACTCAGCACATCATTTTTGTTTCCACAGGGTGGATAATTTATCTAAATACCTTAGTGGGTTGAAAGAACAAGAAAGGCGGCTTAAAGTCATAGAATCCCAGGTAAGTAATAGCTTTGTAGGCATTTACATTTATATCAGATTTAGGATTTCAATGTTTCTTTCATTTTTTGTGTGGCCATTTTTAATCACTGCTGGTAGTATTTGATGGTGGTTTGGTACCGTGTTCAGGGATAAAAGGATGAAGAAATGGATCTGTATTATGACTTCATTTTCCTTATTGTTTTATCCGTAATGATAACTACATAAAGAAACATTTCTAACCTCTCATAAAAAAGAAAAAGAGGAATACAGCATTTCCTGTTCTATTTTGCTAGTCTACTTGAGAAGTGTTCACTTCTTACAGAATCACAGAATCACAGAATCTCTAGGTTGGAAGAGACCTCAAGATCATCGAGTCCAACCTCTGACCTAACACTAACAGTCCCCACTAAACCATATCCCTAAGTTCTACATCTAAACGTCTTTTGAAGACTTCCAGGGATGGTGACTCAACCACCTCCCTGGGCAGCCTGTTCCAATGTCTAACAACCCTTTCAGTAAAGAAATTCTTCCTAACATCTAACCTAAAACTCCCCTGGCGCAACTTTAGCCCATTCCCCCTCGTCCTGTCACCAGGCACATGGGAGAACAGGCCAACCCCCATCTCGCTAGAGCCTCCTTTAATATACTTATACAGAGTGATAAGGTCACCCCTGAGCCTCCTTTTCTCTAGGCTGAACAAGCCCAGCTCCTTCAGCCGCTCCTCATAGGACTTGCTCTCCAGGCCCCTCACCAGCTTCGTCGCCCTTCTCTGGACCCGCTCAAGCACCTCGATGTCCTTCTTGTAGCGAGGGGCCCAGAACTGAACACAGTACTCGAGGTGCGGCCTCACCAGAGCCGAGTACAGGGGGACGATCACCTCCCTAGCCCTGCTGGTCACAGTGTTTTTGATACAAGCCAGGATGCCGTTGGCCTTCTTGGCCACCTGAGCACACTGCTGGCTCATATTCAGCCGACTGTCCACCATCACTCCCAGGTCCTTCTCTGCCTGGCAGCTCTCCAGCCATTCCTCTCCCAGCCTGTAGCTCTTCTTGGGGTTATTGCGCCCCAGGTGCAGGACCCGGCACTTGGCCTTGTTAAACTTCATACAGTTGACCTCAGCCCATCGGTGCAGCCTATCCAGATCCTCCTGCAGAGCCTTCATACCCTCAAGCAGATCGACACACGCACCTAGCTTGGTGTCATCTGCAAACTTACTGAGGGTGCACTCAATGCCCTCATCCAGATCATTGATGAAGATGTTAAAGAGGACCGGCCCCAGCACCGAGCCCTGGGGGACGCCACTAGTGACTGGCCTCCAACTGGACTTGGCTCCATTTACCACAACTCTCTGGGCCCGGCTATCCAGCCAGTTTCTAACCCAACGAAGCGTGCGCCAGTCCAAGCCAAGAGCAGCCAGTTTCTTGAGGAGAATGCTGTGGGAAACGGTGTCAAAAGCCTTGCTGAAGTCAAGGTAGACCACATCCACAGCCTTTCCCTCGTCCACCCAGCGCGTCACTTTGTCGTAGAAGGAGATCAGGTTCGTCAAGCAGGATCTGCCTTCCATAAACCCATGCTGACTGGGCCTGATCGCCTGCTTGCCCTTCAAGTGCCGCATGATGACTCCCAAGAGGATCTGCTCCATGAGCTTCCCTGGTACTGAGGTCAAACTGACCGGCCTGTAGTTCCCCGGGTCTGCCCTCCGGCCCTTCTTGTAGATGGGCGTCACGTTTGCTAGCCGCCAGTCAGCTGGGACCTCCCCCGATAGCCAGGACTGCTGATAAATGATGGATAGGGGCTTGGCCAGCTCCTCTGCCAGTTCTCTCAGTACTCTTGGGTGGATCCCATCCGGCCCCATCGACTTGTGCACATCCAAGTGCCGTAGCAGGTCACCAACCAGTTCTTCGTGGATGGTGAGGGCCACATCCTGCTCCCCGTCCCCTTGCACCAGTTCTGGGTACTGGGTATCCAGAGAGCAACCGGTTTTACCACTAAAGACTGAGGCAAAGAAGGCATTGAGCACCTCCGCCTTTTCCTCATCTCTTGTAACTAAGTTTCCCCCCGCATCCAGTAAAGGATGGAGATTCTCCTTAGTCCTTCTTTTTGTGTTGATGTATTTATAAAAGCGTTTTTTGTTATCTTTAACGGCAGTAGCCAGCTTGAGCTCCAGATGAGCTTTGGCCTTCCTAATTTTGTCCCTGCACAGCCTCGCTACATCCTTATAGTCCTCCCTAGTGGCCTGCCCAATTTTCCAAAGATTATAAACCCTCTTTTTCCTCCTAAGCTCAAGCCACAATTCTCTGTTGAGCCAGGCTGGTCGTCTTCCCCGCTGGCTCATCTTTGGGCACATGGGGATAGACCGCTCCTGTGCCATTAGGATTTGCCTCTTGAATAGCACCCAGCCTTCCTGAACCCCTCTGCCCTTCAGAACCGCCTCCCATGGGACTCCACCAACCAGTGTCCTGAGCAGCCTAAAGTCAGCCCTCCGAAAGTCCAATACAGTGGTTTTACTGGTTCCCTTCCTGGCCCCGCCAAGAATAGAGAACTCCACCATTTCGTGGTCACTCTGCCCAAGACTGTTCCCGACAATCACATCCTCCACCAGTCCTTCTCTGTTTGTGAAGAGAAGGTCTAGCAGGGCACCACCCCTGGTAGGTTCACTAATCAGCTGCGTCAGGAAGCTATCTTCCACTTTCTCCAGAAACCTCCTAGACTGCTTCCTCTGGGCTGTGTTGTGCTTCCAGGATATGTCTGGGAAGTTGAAGTCCCCCACGAGTACAAGCGCTGACGATTTCGCAACTTCTGTCAGCTGCCTGTAGAACTCCTCATCCGTCTCCTCATCCTGGTTCGGCGGTCTATAGCAGACCCCGACCAGGACACTAGCCTTGTTGTCCCTGCCGATCCTAACCCAAAGGGACTCGATCTTGTCATTCCTAGCCTCGAGTTCTACAACATCGAAAGACTCTCTAATATAGAGAGCCACACCGCCACCCCTTCCATGCTGCCTGTCCCTTCTGAAGAGCCTATAGCCAGGCATCGCAGCACTCCAGTCATGAGACTGGTCCCACCACGTTTCCGTGATGGCAACCAAGTCGTAGCCTGCCCGCTGCACGATGGCTTCCAGCTCCTCCTGTTTGTTACCCATGCTGCGTGCATTGGTGTAGATGCACTTCAGCTGGGCCTTTACCTTATCCTCCGGCCTTGCCACTGCTCCCCCTGGTACAGCCCCAACAGTCCTCGCTCCAGCCCCATCCCCCTTCTTACCTAGTTTAAAGCCCTATCAATGAGCCCCGCCAGCTCCTGGCCCAGGATCCTTTTTCCCCTAAAGGATAGGGACCCGTCTACGGCCACCAGACCAGGTGCTGAGTAAACTGCCCCATGGTCGAAAAACCCAAGATTTCTGCGTAGGCACCAGCCCCGGAGCCACGTGTTTAACAGGTGAGCTTTCGTTGTCCTTGAGGACTGTTGTTACCTTGAGGTTGCCCCTGGAGGCAAATGTTTGATCTTACCCCCTCCATTCTTCTTTCATCCAACCTTTTCTTACTTTAGAAATTACAACTTTGAAAATACCCATATGCTTTCTGATTTGACAGAGACTAATCTTCTTGGACATCAGTTTTTCTAATTTTGTTAGATACCACATATCAGCTTCTTAAAAGGAAGTGTCTGGCATAGAAATGCGCAATAAATAAATAATAGAAGGAAACCCTATCTCGAGCTTTTGATGACAGATCTGTGAAACATAAACAAACATTTGTTAAGCAGTCTGAAAACCATTGCCATGTGCTACACAGTAAAACTCTCGTTGTTTTCTTTGTCCCTAGAATTCTTCAGTGTAATTTTGGCCTCACCGAAAGTTGTTTATCTCAATTGCAGTTTCCCTCCTTTTTTTCTTATCCATTCTATGGCTTCCTAAAAAAAATGTCACGCTATTCCATGAACAATGCTGAAAACAAATACAGGTTCAATGGGAACACACGAGAAATGCTTTAATAAGGCTGTGCCAGATTGAGATAATGCAATGTACTCACAAAAAAGGAAGATATTTAATACTCATCTTCCTCCAAGTCAGTTCATCTAATTCTAATCAAACTAATAAAAAAGTCACATGTGGTATTTCTGACGTTGCTTCATGCTGCTGCCTACATTGTCTTTCCTGCAAATTTAAGATTGGATAAGAATGGATAACTATGAAAATTAACTGATGTAGAAATCACTACCTATTTTGTAGATATGCTACTGTACAGCTGTTATCTCTTCAATGGCAGATGCTTTAACCAAAACCAACCTATTGTGCAACCAACCAGCTCCAGATTATACACGTAAGTATTGGAAATCACCATGGAAAAACTAATCAACACAACTAGACAATTTAGTTTTTTTTTTTTTAAATAAAACTATTATTTAAAAATAAAAATGACAACAAAGGTAAGAACCACATAAGGACTGCAAAGGAGTTGCAATATAAACAACAAACATTCTGAAGTATGAATATTTTGAAGAAATTACCTTTTGCAAAATATATTTAAAAGCTTTGGGGAATGGACCATCATTCACTGCAGGTTAGAATGATCTCACCTAACTTTAAGGATGTAGAAAAGTATCTATTTGCCACTTGGTTTCTTGAAAGGACTGTGTTTTAGGGGTTTCTTGAGTCAATGAGACAGTATAACCAAGACATTTGCTAAGGATAACAATAATCATGAAACAGAAAAACCCCTTCAACTTTGTTTTAATCACTGCAATTCATCTGCCTTCAGAGCTGCAGCTATTTCTGTCTGTCAAGAATATAGTCCCATGTCCTGGAGCTCCACTGTTTGGAGATTAAAACATTAAGAGTCAGAAACAGACTGTCTCAGCCACTGCATGATATCTGACTCAACAAATATTTTGGATATTTTTCTTAAATAGTAATAGGTAGATATTGAAATAGCTATCTATTGAACAAAAATAATATCAAAACCCCATTAAACAGAACACATAGGTACTACGTGGGAAAAAAAGTAGCTGGAAGTCTAGTTAAGTCTTGGCATGACAAGACCTCAAAGCACTCTGGTAAATGGAGGTGTGTAAAGGTAATTTGGATCCCATCAATTTTCCTTGTCCATTTGTATTTACTTCAACGTGGGTTGAGGTGGGGAATGAGATCTGTCCGAGATTCCTGTAGCAAACCACTGGCACAACAAACACAAATAGTTTGCAATTTACCCAGCTGCAGGAGGAATTATGAACATACTTAACCAGGTATGAAATTCAAACTGTAAACTTAGACATAGCAAAGCCAGGCTGGAAAGATATTTTATTTCATAGTAACTCAGCATGCATAGCAAACTATTATATTCTGAAAGCAATGAAAGGAGTTATCAATTTTCCCTATACACTAAACTGTGCAGATCACTGATAAATGATCAAGTTTGATCCTAACTGCAGCTTTGTCCTACAACAGCTTGCACCAACTAGCTTCTCAGACTAGAACTTCAAATTTGACTTAAGTTCGCAAGTTTATAAAGCACTTCAATACGCTGCTTCATTATAAACTTTCCACTAAGACAAACTATCCTGTAGCATGCTCCCCAGATATTTTAATACTGTAACTGTATATCAATCTGAAACTTACATAGATGAAAAAAAAAAACACTTGTTTTTATCATTTACTGAGCAAAGTACTACAGTCTACGGTATGATCTTCCTGTGGATTATTTTCAACATTTACATTTTCCTAAGTAATCATTGCTATGCAACCCTTGTCCTAAAGCATTTAAGAAATATGTTTTTTCACAATCCTATTAGGTTTGATGAATGCCAGCACCGAAGTGCCTTTGCCAGAAAGGGGTGAAGAAGAAGAGCATGCAGATCCATCTGAGGCTGACATCATGTACATTGATAATTAAATTTTATTCTCAATTTGAGTTAAACTTTTTCCACTACTGAATTACTACAGCAATAAAACCCTAATTTCATGAAGGCCTACGACCCAAATCTCAAAGCCTTTGATAGTATCTTCATACCTGATGTCAAACACTGCTGATGGTTAATACTGCTGAGGATTTCTTGGGCATTCTTCAACTTCTTGGCCTTCCTTCCCTCCTGATGTTTCTTGGTCATTTATCCAACACTCCCCTCCACAAATGGCACTACTTCCCCTCCAGGATGACCACCACCTTATTTTCTATATAGCCTGTGTTTTGTTCTCTACGTTGCATACCCTCAATCAAACTTTCATCACCACCAATGTCTACATTTCTGTGTTCTTTTCAAGGGAGTTTCCCTTTTGAAAGGTAATCATTTCCTCGCTAAAACACAACCCGCTTCCTGGGCCAAGAAAGCAAACTTGCATTTACAAGTTGCTTTTGAAGAAAGTTTCCACAGGAAAGAAAGGGCCTGGGATACTGAACTATTACAATGAATCCAGTTCCTAGAGTTCTTATCAGCCTCAAATGATTGTACTTACCATCTTTTCTTCCCAGTCTGGCTTCTGTGGGATGTTCCCTTTCTGACTTCTCCTTAAAGTGCTCCTCACTCATCTACAGAAACTCATTGCATGGTCCTCAGGTCTTCAGTGGCTTGCAGTCAATTTCCAAAGACAAAACAGGTGACCCTCCCACCAGCCCCAAGCAGCCCCTGCTGCTTGATTTTTTTGTTTTAGTGCCAAACTCATCTTCTGTCAGCTCACTGTATGACACCTTGCCCTTGCATCTACAGCCAAGCATTTTTCTGATTTTATTCTACATTTCTCTCTCAAAGCTCAAAAAAAAAAAAAAAAAAAGACAAGAATTTTCCTAGAAACTCAGAATTTGGGCTGTTGGCCATTTTTTTGCATTACTTTAACTAGCATGTACCTTTTAAGCAGACAAATGTTAGCTGGCTTTATTTTAATTTTGTATGGAAAGCTACACAAATAAAATGGATCTCACTACTGTCCTGTAATGGGAGATTTCTTTGGACTAACATAACCATTGTTGGAAGGGGGAAGTAATAGGCTGTGGTCATACTCTGATAAGCTTCAGCTGAACTTAATTTCCTCACGCCTATTGTAACACAGCTCTTATACAACATAAATAAATGCATGGAAACTCTCTCTACTGCCAGGTATCTCAATACAGAGGTGAGAAAAAAAAATCTCAAATCTGATCAAAATGCCTTTCTATTTACAAAGACGCATAGTGGAAATTAATTGTTATGCCTTCATAAAATAGAAATTTATCCAGCTTATTCAGCTGTGCCCCAGACCTTAGCGGTAACATTAACAGTGATGCAATTTTGGTACTGTACTAAACGCTCATCACCCTAGGCAAATGAGAAGTTACAAAACCAGTGGGTGTGTACACTGCTACATTTTTTGTTAGGAAATAATGCTCACTGTACAACCCACAGCACATCATACTCTTCACAGCAGCTTCCCTGCTACTGTTTTTATTGTGACCGGTACATTCATCATCCACTGGAAACCAGTTTCTGTCTGTTTGGAATTTTTGTTATGTCCCATTCACGTGTACTGGAAAAACTGATGTATTTAGCAATGAACCATTAATTAACATGCATCGAATTGGATTCTCACGATCAAATACCATCTTTTAAAATTAAGAAGTGAATTGCAAAAGATGGCACGCTACTCATTTTACATTTTCTTCTTCTGCTAATAAATAATGCATCTATTCAAACACAACCCCCAGATGATTCAGGCCTACCAGTTACTGGCAAGGTGCTGACATCCCACCCAAGGGAAAGAAGTCTCCTCAACCATCCTTTGGAGTCTGAACAAGCGCAGTCTAGCAAGAAAAAAAATAATCACATATTCTGAAGTAGTCATCTTTCATTACGGTTATAAATATTAACATTAGGGCTAGTTAATTTAGAATGCTGGCAAAAGTCAATCTAAAGTGAACTGAATTAGTTTCAAATAATAAAGCCTTTCAAAGCATTTAATCTTTCAGCCTTATTTATAGGAAAACAAACAAACAAAAAAAAACAACCTATCCACTTATTAGCATTATATATGAAAAACTACTACACTTGACATTATGATCTGAATCAGGTGATTCTCTCTATACTCTAAAATCACCAAATTGTTGAAAAACTGAGCTTTAGAATCTAAAATTTAAGAAAATGAGAAAATGTTTATGGAACATTAAGTTTAGAGTAACTTTTTAGATTCTAGATTTTCTAAACAATTCTCAAATAAACACGGTATTTGTTAGAACTCCCCCATTTTCACTAGTATCAGTACGTTTCAAAGAGATGCAGAAGTCAAGCTACAACCAAAAATTTATTGAATACCAAAGAATAAAAAAGTATCCAGTTCTGATACAAATACCCAATTCCCATCAAATCCACACAAAGAAATGTGGAACCAGTGCCACCTGGAAAAGATAAACAGATATACAGGCCAAAAATCATCACACCACATCATACCACTAAGAGGAAAAGATGTTGCCTAACTAACAACTGAAGCTGTCCAGAGTGTGTCTTCACTGGGATGTTTCTAAGCTGTACCTGTCTGCAGGAGACATGGCAGGTTTTTTGTTGTTGTTTTCAATGTACCAATGCAATTAAATACTAAGACCACCTTAAAAATATTTTGTTTGCCAATTGTCACGTGGGCCTCCAAACTCACAAGTGGGCATGCTGTGCTTTCACTCTCAATAGCAATGATGGGTATATTTTCTAAAAAGTTTCCCTCTACAGCACAGACTGGGAGAAATCAAATCTAGTGGAAGACTGGGTTTTATTTTTGTTGTTTAAAAAACTCTACATGACCTGTGTTCCAGGATTCTACAGGATTTGGGAACAGCTTGAAATCTTGGGGGTAAATAAGATGCCTTGCAGCGTTTTAGCTAACAGTTCTTTCATGATAACTTCAGCTCCAGAGCAAACCCCAGGGAGCTGCTCAAGCAAACAAAGCACACTGTTGTTTCTGCTAGGGTGCAATGATCCTGTGCCCACAGACTTCTCACTAAAAAAAAGTCTGTAACACACTTTTGATAGCTTAATTTCTAACAATATAAAATGTCCTGGGTGGCTATGATACAAACTGTTAGACAAAACACCGTAACATGGGTCCCTGACCCAAACAAAAAGATACATCTTATATATACGGGTAGGGAAGAAAAAACAACAAGCATATCCGAAGATGATACAACTTCTTGGATGTTTCCAATTTGTTCCATCATTCAGGACTCTTCCTCTTCCCCTTCATCATCTACTTTGGGTCGGAAATTTTTCCTATTCCTCTTCTTACTGCAATGGAATCCAACTTTTTCTACCAAAGGCTCTTCAGCTGCACCACTAAACCTTGCACTAAGCTTACCTTCTGTCTTCAGGTTCCCCACCATCAGGCACCCCTCCTCCTCTGCTGCCTTTCTACTTCCACCATCTAAGTGCCCCAGCTCAACCTTATCGTCATCCCTCAAGTCATCAGTCTTCAGAGATTTTCCTTTCAGATCTGGTTTTGTGTGTTTCTTATCTCCCTCCCCTGCTGCTATTTTCTTTTCTAGTCCATCAACACCCCTTTTTGCTGGTTTGGTGAATACAATCCTCCCAGCTCCACAGCTGGAGGGATCCTGATTGAAGTATGGGGTATAACTATCTTGGGCAGCTGAGCTTTGTTCCTCTCCTCTTTTCTTCAGACCCTTTAGAAATTCCATAGCCACTGTCCTGTTAGTCTTGTCACTAGACTCTGAAACTCCATCTAGACTGTATTTGGTCCAGCGCTCTGGGTGTGCCACGTAGTCAGGCACTGCTGGAGAGATTTTGGGAGCCTGCACTGGTCTAGCTGACTTTCCAGGGTTTTCTGGAACCACATTACTTGACACAGTAGTTGGAGGTAAAGGACGTTTGAACCTCCCGTCAACAACATTATCTTCAGACATTGAGGGCACAGACAATTTGGCCGCCTCTTCCAGGCAATCAAAAATGCTCTGGCTGCGGAGAGAGAACGTAGAACTCATGCCCCTCAGATGGAATGGCTGGACAGGAGATCTGTGACTGCTGTCTGAAGGGTCAGGGGCGTCCTCTGATCCATAATCTCCATCCTCTACAGGTGGCTCCTCTGGAGATACTGTATTGACTTCTGCTTCATCTAGCCCCAAATCATCAGAATCTGAATCGCTGAGCGACACTGTGTCAGAGGGCAGAGCTCCTTCGTAGTCAGTGGCCCCAGCCACTAAGTCCAGGAAGGGTTCACCGGCATCTTGATCTCCCATCTTGGGGCTATCGCTCCACCGAGGGCTCTGATGGAATGTCTGCAGATATGGTCTGCCAAACACCCAGCGACTTTAATGCCTAGAATACAAAGGATCATGAAAACTCAGCTGTGAAATGAGAATCATATGTATGACTATCATTCTAGGCCGTACAAAATAATTGTTTTTACAATATCGCAAGCTCCGCTCCCTCTTTGGCATTAAGCTCTCATGTTATTACTAGATTCCTGCAATCACATGGTAAACTAGTTTGAGAAATGAATCCCACTGGATTAAGAAAACTAATTGCAGATGCTATGCTTGCACTAGCACACTAGAAACAAGGGGACAGCGCAATGCAGGGTCAGCAAGAGTCGGCTGTTCAGTCAATAAAAAGACACCAAGATCTGTGGCCTGAGTTCCAGTACAGGCTAAATCACTCTGCCACCTGCTCAAAGGAAACTGTGAAGAACCAGGAAGGCCGAAGATCACACCACCAATTGCTAAGCAATGAGAAACAGAGCTGGCAAATACACACCTCGGTTCAGCTCCAAGAAATGCAAATTATGGAAATAGTTCTCATACATTATTAGATTAAGCTGAGCTGCGTAATTAAAGGTTCTTCTCAAACGATGCAGTAAACAGACCTAGGGTCACTCACTTTCTCTTGAGACTGGGCCAGCTTCCCCTCCTGAGGGTCAGTTAAAGCCACCAAAGATCTCAGCACTTCCATCCTAGAAAACAAACATTTCCATCAAGATTCTGGAAATGTAGCTTTAAAATGAGTTTTGAGAATAATTCCTTCTCCCTGAATCATCCAAAGCTGCAGAACCAAGTTCCAAATCCGACACAAACTCAAGCTAGCAGAAAAGCGTGCAAATATTCCTGGATTTTGGCAAAAGAGCAACACAACCTAATAAGGCAGGCAGCGCTGTATTTACTCAGGCTCCACATGCGTGTTGCCAAGCCTTCTTCTACAGAGCAGAAGAGAGGCTTTAAAAAAATAAAACTGAAATTTATAGGTGCAGCAAACAATCAGTAAATGAACTGTGTTAGATAAAGCTGAGAAAATACCGAACTGCTAGTCATGCATTGCAGGCAATAAATACTGCAGGAAAAGAGATGAGGGACACCACGGGGATGTCTTCAAGGAAAGGCCACATTTGCAGTCAGGGATGGCCTGGCACGAAGCGTTAAAACATGGAGAAAGGCCTAAAAAATTTGAGCGCCCGAGCGCTGTGGTCTGTGTGAGGCCTGCCTGCCTCTGCCAGAGGGACTGAAGGGACTAACGGCTGCTTTTGGGCACACGTCCCTCAGCGCAACCCCTACACGCGGAAGAGCCACCTGAAACCCCTTCATCCACCCGTTTGGCTTTACATCAGACCGAACGAGCAGCCAGGACCCCAAGGAGGCGTTAAGAAGTGTAAGTGGCGAACACGGCCGGCTCCAGGGGCAGCTCCCTCCCTCGGGCCGGCACCCCGCGAGGCGAGCAGCGCGCACGCCCTGCACTCACAGGCTCGCTGCGGCGGTGCCACGGCAGCACGGCTCGGGCAGGACGGCGGCTCCCTGCCCGCCAAGCTCCCGGCCGGGCTCCGCCATCCCGGCCTGGCTGCGGGGGGCTGGAAGCGCGCCGCACCCACAGCGCCACACACCCGCCACCGCCTCCTCCTCCTCACAGCGCCGAGCCCGCTCCTCCAAGCCGCGGCTCCGACCCTGGCGCGGGGCGCGCTGGGACATTGAGTCCTTTCGAGCCGCTGCAGCGCTGCAGCCCGCGGAGCCCGGACTACAAATCCCAGCAGACAAAGCGGCGGGAAGCGGGCGGGAGCTTCTCCTCTCGCTCCTTTTGCCTCATGGGAGTTGTAGTCTCCCGTGTTGTCCCCGCTGGGGGGACATTTTGCGAGGAAAAACTTCCCCGCCTCACTCCGCCGGCGCCGCGGCACGCCAGGACTACAGCTCCCAAGGTGCACCGCGCCGGGCGCCGCCCGCCATTTTGTAGTCTGTGAGGAAATGGGGATCCGCTGGCGCCGCACGGGGCCGGCCGTGGGGCATCCCCCTGCCCCGGGGCCGCGGGGGCTGCGAAATGGCGGCCCTGGGCCCGCCGCCCTGCTGCATGGCCCGGGGGCTGCCGCGACAAAGTGTGGAAAAAAACACATCAAACAGAGCCTTTTTTCCTCATCAGAACACTAGGGCTTGGCAACTGTGTGGATTTCAGAGGAAGTGCAGGCTTTTTTTTTTTATTATTTGTATTTTCTAACCAGAAAACCCCAAGTCACTAGGGGCGTAGAACCAGTGCTCAGCCAGGAACAAGTTTCCATTTTCTGTCCCAGAAAACATTTTTTTGTGTGTGCGTCGAGAAGTGGAATTCTGTCTGAAAATGTTTTATTGGTGCTGGCCCCAGCACTGCCTGATTTTTTTCCCCTTCATTCAGCTAGAAGTTTACTTTTACAGTGGAAATATACTTCCCAAGTGGCTTTAATACTTCGCTTGTTTACCCTAAGCTGTACCGCAGCGGCTTGCTGGCCTCATCCCCACCCGTTCCCCGGGCCCCAGTCTCATTCTAGATTGCATGTCCCTGGGACTTCATCATTAAATGGAATTAAATTAATGCCTGAATTAAATAATGACTGCAGAGGGGATGAGCTTCTGGAGCCTCTCACCCCACTCTGAGAGATCAACATGCAAAGTTTTGATTTGCAATAAACAAAGCCCCTCATCTGTGCCATCATTTTGCAGAAAAAAAAAAAAAAAAATATATATATATATATATATATGATTGTGCAACTTCACTTCACCTGATATTGCTGTCCCCCTCCATGTTACCTGTACCTTGTTGCATCTCCGTTTTGTTTGCAGATGGATGTGCTAAAGGTGATGCTGTGTCTGTGTCTGAGACAAGCTCGCCAAATCCCTTTAAGAGGGGCCTCACTGTGAGTCATCCATAATGTAAACTGCAGCCACTTCATTTGCATTGTCAGATTTAAAAGATGTACTTTTGCCTTCTGGAGTGCTGCTAACTACAGTAATTTATGAAATGTAGGCTGCCTTTTGGAATACATTTGGCAGCAATAGCAAGGTTAGCACAAAATGTCTTGTGTCTGCCTGGAGCTGTACTGTTGTTTTAAAACAGCAGCTTTAGAGGTGTTTCCCCATTTAGTGAGCCTTTCCTTAAATGTATATACATATATAGTATAGGCACAGAGGGACAAATAGGTTCCTGGCTGGAGGGAAGATAAGAGGAAAACAGAGTCCTCTGGCAGGTGAGCAGGAACAGATACAAGGAGGGCACTAAGCAGGCACAGGAAGGCGTTGGACAGGGAAGCCAAGCATAAACCGTGGATGAAGGCTACCACTTCTGTGTAATGTAGTCTGGGGTGTTGGGGCGCACCAACAGCAAGACTCTGAGGGTAATGAGGAATAGGCAAGAAAAAGATGTGCAGTAAGTGGTGTCATGCCCTGTTTTTGTAAGGGTGGAGACAAGCAATGTATGACATGGATTTTTTATTTATTTATTTTTTTTGGCCAGGATACTGTTGATGGCCAAGGTTACTTCAGAAGCTGTCTGTACCCTTTTTCTCCTTCCTGTCTTTGCAGAAGGTGAGTATCAGACGCTACAAAGAGCCAGGGATGAGCTGCTTTTTTCTCTGCTGACTGAGAACAAGACTGTTTGCACTGGTGGTTATGCTGGTGTGTTGGGATTTTCGCTATTGCTTGGCGACAGCTGAAATAAAAATAATGAGTCAGACTCTGAAGATGAACAGATGGTAAAGCGTTTCGCCCTCGCCAGTGTGAACTAAGGTGGCTTGAAGAGGGGTGGGGAGGCTGAGATGGAGATCTGAGCAGCAGCACGGGCCATCATCCAAGCAAGCACACCATCCAGTGCGTGGACTCCTCTGCAGAGATGGCCCCATGCCGCTGCAGGAAGCCAGCGCATCCCCCTGTGGGGGAGCTGTGTGTGAAAATGAAAACCATTTTCAGCCCCAGTGCTGGGAGCCTCATGCTCCTGTCTTGCAAATAAATCTGTCATTGGCCTCTATCTGGTAACTGTTTCTGCTGCTCACTGGCAGGCTCTGGCCCCAGCCCATGCACTAAAGGCTTCTGCTGCTTCTGTGCATAGAGACTGGGGTGGGTGTCTGGCAGAGACTGCCTGCCCCTCTCCTTGGGGCTGTAGGAAACTGGCAGGTGATTCCCCAGCAGGCACCACAGGCCAGACAGAGTAATCAGATGCATTTTCTCCATCACATGCACGCAGAATGAGAGTGGAAGTCTGGTGTGGCCATGCTCAGCTGGTGCTGGAGTTCCTGAGGGGAAGTGGGGAAGGAAAGGAGCATTTTCCTGTAGGCAAAAATCAAAAGTAGGGTAGTGAACACCACTCTGCCAGGAGAATGCAGTTGCACCATGCCAGAACGGGTAAAAGCAGAGGGAAGGGAAGCCTATAAATAGCCTCAAAATGCGGTGGAGTGAGTGCTTGAGACTGCTTCTCTCTTTCATAAAACTTTGCTTACCTCTTTTACCTTGCACTTTCCTTTGGTCCTGGCCCACCTGCAGGCAGTTTGGATTTAGTCCAGTGTTCTCTACCCATGTTGATGCTTTATTCCCCCTAAGATTACATAAAACCAATTCCTGTGGAAGGAGTTTTTTTAATGAGGGCAGGTCATGAAGGTCTGTATCAACCTGATTCTTCACAATAACAAAGTTATTGCCTACCTGTAGGGAGATTTGCAACTCTTTTCTGCTAGAGACACTACATGCATGAGCGGGAAGTGAAGTCCTGCAAAGTTAATGCTTTCTGCAATTATTTCAATTAAAAAAAAAAAAAAAAAAAAAGAAACAAATGCAGTTGGGAGCCACTGTTCATTTTGATTTAGCTACAGAATATTTTTACTAAAAAGCCCTTCTCCTAAATCTTAAGTCTTTTTTCTATCATTTGCCACAGCATGCCTGATGCTACCAGCAGAAGAGAAGAGCTGAAAGAGGTCATTTGTAGCAGCTGAGGGCCTTGAAGTAAACCTTTTGGAAAAAAACTCTTAAAACTCTAAAACTCCTCAGACCTTCTGTTAGAACATGGCCTGTAGGAACTCATTAACTGACACTGCATTGTAGCTGACACAGGGCTTTGCATTTAACCCCACTAAACCTTGCTGGAAGGATTCTTACCAGTTGACTCGCAGCCTGCAGGCAGGGTGTTGTACATGAACAGTCTCACTTGGCCTAACACCAACATCTTTTCAGAGCTTAGCAAAGCTGTGTTTGAACATGAGGGAATGCACTAGTGAAAGAGGCCAAGAAACACACACAAAAAAAGGAAAAAAAAAATAGGTGTGATTAAACTCTAATTAGAAATGTTACTTGCAACTGCTGGCACTTGAGCTGGTTAATGTAAAGCCAGTGGAGAAACGCCAAGCAATCCACCTTTGCATGCCTGGTTGCAAAGTTACGTGCCCACTTTGTTGTATTTGCAAGTGTGAAATGTGAAATGCATTTTTAGCAGCTGGATGGTGTTTTCTTTTTGCTTCAGTTCCCTGGACTCTCTGAAAGGAAAGCATCGGGCTGCTTGCGTCAGACAAGCTGCCAGAGGTTGGCTGAAGTGTTTGCACCAAGAGCGCATCTTTATACACCCACCATCCTGCTGAGCTCATGCCCTATGCAGGATAGCACAAAGCTCTCCAGGCTGAAACCGAGGAGCGGTCAGACAAAAAAATACACAAATTAACACTGCACCTTTACTTTGGTTCAGTATGTACAGGATTTGGGGATTCTAGCCTGTGCTTATCACTTAATCAAGCACTAGTCACGTAGTTAATTACGTTCGCCTCTCCCCTTCAGCACCTACTGATACGCAGCAAAGGCAACTGTGGTTCAGAGCAGGAATCTGAGCACAGCAACTAGCACATCCTTCATCACTGAGCCAGGCAAGTGGAGCTGGCAGCTGGAGAACCGGGAGGGTGCTTTCCCCTGCAGCAACCTCTGCTGTAAACAGCTCTCCCATGAGAGAGCTGGCTTTTTTTTTTTTTTTTCTCCCCTGTGGGAGTACAGCAAAACATAGTTAGAGCTTAGACAACATCTAAGTACAGAATGGACATCGGCAATTTATACCTTTGCTGTTAGTCCCAGTTGTCTTAGTAGGAAACAATTAGGCACATTGCTACTTATAACACAATCAGCCCAGAGTAGGCTTAGGAAATAGAGCTGGCCAAAGCAGAAACATTTCCAAAACCTCCCATGAGAAATACTCTAGATTTTTTTTTTCTAAACACCTAGGGGAGATGGGTGAAAGAGAAGAATTCCACAGGGAAAAGCCCAAATTGGTATAGCTTAGAAAAATTCACACTTTAATTTTTTAATTTGCATAAATTCTTGTTTGAAAAAATAAAAATAAAATCCACGGTAGTATTCCTAGGAAGCTGAAGTTCTTGGCCCTTCAGTCAGCCCTTGCCCCTAAGTCCTTCAATCCTCTGGACAAGAAACATTTTTCCAAAAAAAGCCTAAGCCATGGCTGTTGGTGTAATATGAGAACAACTGGGCAGCAGGCTTTCCACCCACCCTTTCCCCTTGCAGTGGTTTATCTGTGCAGCCTCACATGCTCCTACGCAGGACTGCTGTTCTCCACTCACAACCTGTGTCTTCAATTAACAGCACCTTAAAAGGGCCTGGTTTGCCCATTTCCCTCTCAGCATCTCAGCCCCACCAGCACATACAATTCATCTGGCTCTGAGCATGAGTGTTAATAGTCAAACCTGAGGTGCAAACAAGGTACAGCATTTAGCTGGGGAAGGTTTAAGATTCTAGCTATGCTTCCAGGCTGATGTCCCAAGGCACACAGCCTGGATGCCAAATATGCGCTGTGCTTTGCCAGTTTGTTTCCACTATGGCTTTTCTTACTGTTGAACACTATCCTGAGTCTGACAGTGACTCACATCAGCTTAATCTTAGCTCTGAAGAGGTAAGAATAATTTCATACCCATCTGGAACAACAACACAGCACCACAATCCAAATGTTATAAGGCATGAAGCAAAGAGCATCATATTCATGGGAAACCACCGAGAAGGTCAGCTAAGGACTGCATTCCCTAAAGCAGCCCGAATTCTGCTTTGACACAAGAGAGAGAAAACCCTGCTCCCTTGGAAGACACGTCAGAAATCTGTACGCGATGGAAAGAAACAAGATCTGACAACACATCATTAAAAATCGACTTACAAGGGAAGGTTTTGCTTTGTTTCTTTTTTTATTATTATTGTTTTTAAATCTCTTTTTTTTCTTTCTTTCCAGAAGTCATTATGTCCGACTCCATTAACATTCAGGTAAACAAGTGAAAGAACAACAGATGGGGATGATCTCGTAGCACAGGCACAGCCGCCAGGAGCAGGGAGCAGGGCTTGCCTTCCTTCGCGGCAGCTGAACATCGCTCTCCCTCCCTCTCTGCACAGGCAATGGCCAGGGGCCATCGGGGACAGCCATGCTTCAAATGCAGCGAGAAGTCCAAGACACAGCAAGAAGGAAAGGCGGGTGTGGGATCACAGCACTCGGCCTCCTCCCTCACTCTCAGCAGGGCTCTCCCCTGATGGTGCAGAGGGGCAGGCAGCAGCAGCAGCGGTGGCCTTACCAGACCAGCCACAAAAACAGCCCAGCCCCTGGCTGGATGGCAGTTGAAGGCATTTTGGGCTATTTTCGGTCACTTTAAAAGCCCCATGGGCATGCCCAGTACTGCCACCACAGCCCCTCCCCTGAATTTCAACACAGCCACCCCCTTTTGCAATACGCATTAGCTCCCCCACAGCTGTGCCCCCTTCCATTGAGGGGGGCACAATTGCAGCAGCCACCGCTGCTGGCAAGCAACCTCTCTGCTGTCCCTCAGCACCATTCTGGATGTGTCCCCAGCCTGCCACCCCCCTCGCTGAGGCTGGAAAAACCCATGCTGCTGAAGCCTGGTTCACAAAGCATCCTGGTGTCAAGGTTAACTGGTTGTAAAATCGCAGCGGTTCATCACACTATGCACACGATGAGAAATGTTTATTAAATCGATTTTTGTTTTGTTTCTTTAAAAAAAAAGGCAGAAAGAAGTTCAACACACTGCTTTGTGGCATGCTCCACAGTATGAAAAAATCCCAAGCATTCAGTTAAGCTGTCAGTGGCTCTGTTTGACCTTTCCATGTGGTCTTTGAACTTAGACCTGGATAGCTCACTCTGCTTCTCCCCACCTGCCTCTCTCCTCCCTGCTCAGGCTTGTAGCCATTTTTCTCAGCTGCCACTTGCTCCAGAAATATGCTTCCTCAGAGAGGGAAGGTTTGTATTTACAGCCCTCAATTTCATCTATCATCCGTTTGGGTTTGACTATGCAGTCAGACATGGGGACCCTCAGCTGAATTCCACAGCAAGCATTACTGTCCCTGCAGAACTCCTTCAGATCTCCCCAGGACAGTCCCAGCCCTGGCCACTTCCCTCCTGTCCAGCTCTGGTTCCTGCATCCACATGGACAGGAGGTGGCACAGGGCGCTCTCCTCTGAAAGGAGCCAAAGAGCAAATGGCAGCCAGCGTGGCACATGGTCTGAGCAAACACCCTGCTCTTCTTCCTCCCACAGTCCCTGACTCCCTCTCCAAGCACCACTTTTCTCCCAGTTGATCCTGCACAGGACAACGCAGACCCCCAAAGCTACAACATCCAAGGACGTGCCCGACCTGCACTGAGTTCTCTGCAGGGAGGACCCAGTCCGTCTTCAAACAGAGCTTCAGCTACTCACGCAGCATCAACTGAATACTGAACAATATCAAAAATATGGTATAAGGAAAGAAAACAGAATTGAAATGCTTAATGGCATATTTATACACATTTATCAACAGTCAACAAAAAAGGCGGCAAGTTACACATCCATTCTGTATGCTAACAATCCTGATGCACATATATGTAAACACACATGCTTGGTTGATGCATATACATACAGCCACGTAACAGAGTAGATGACCTGAAGGAGCTACGCTGGGGAGCAGGGGAAGGGATTACCTATTGCAAAACCAAGTCTCATTCTCCATGTGCACAAAGTGGACATTCAGGGCAGTGTTGCTTTTAAGGCTGTTTCTAAGGCTGATTTTTTTCTCCAACCCACTCAAACCAAAGATCTGTTGAAGCACTTCCTCCTCTTACCTAGCACAATTCCATATATATACCCCTATATAGACTTTTCAGAAGGCCCTATATACTAAAAGGTAGGAACAGGAAAGGGGTGAGTAGAAGGGGAGAAAAGCCTCTGCACAGATCAGCTTGCCTCAGTGCAGGAAATCTCCTGTCCCCGTTTGGCAGGGGCCATGGCACCCACATGCCATGGACAAGGTGCTAGTTTATAATAGTCCCGGGTCTCTCTCCCTGTCTGATTTGGAGCTCTTAATTGCAACTTGAAGGTGAGGGGGAAAGTGAAATGCTTTAAGAAATGGAAATATTCCTGAAGTGAGGAAGGTGATCGTGGGTTTTAACTCCTCCCCTCCCCTGCTTCAACGTGGCAAAGAGCTGAGAGATGCTAGCATTTCCAGCTCAAATGCCCCTACGGCTAAGGAAAAGGCTTTGCTTAAAAATATATATCTATAGAACTATACACATAGATCATCTTTTTAGAGACACTCTGATTTTTATTACACAGATCCTGGGTCACTCTTCCCCTCTATGTACACAGTAACAGAGTGGCATACAACAGAGGCCACGCACGCATAATTGGCAATCAAAGCTTACCAGGGCACAAAAAAGTGTTTTAACTGGTGCAATCTTAAATCCTGAATTCCCTTGCTTTGATAAACTCATCTCCTGCTGTTATTGTAACTGGAAATGGAAAGTCTTAAGAAATAAGTAATTATTTTGTTTTCAAAATCAAGTTACAAAATTTTCCCAGCAACATTACAGTGTGTGACGATATGCTATAAGCAAGGAAAATTTCATTGAGTAGGAGAGTGATGTAAAGATGAAATTTAAATATGTACGTATACAGCTGGAAATCCCCCCAAAGTCATCCTGCAATATATAAATGTAGGACTATTAAGGTTAAGGACTTTCCTTCATCTTTTTTCTTTTTTTTTTTCTTTCCCTAATATCACTTGTATCTAGGCATCAGCTTAACATTGGGAACTTTGTACAACACTAGTCTCTCCCAAAATATTATGTCTATAAAGAAACATTTAACAAAGTTAAAAAAAAAAAAAGTTGACTTAGTTTTCAGGTGATTGTGTTTGAAAAATTGTGACTAAAATTCACCCCCAGCAACTGACCCTTAATGTTATGAATATTTGGAAATGAGGCAATTTACAAAGTTATAACCCCCAGGGGAAAAAAAAAAAAGCGCAAAACATCCGCACTCTTCAGAGAATGCAAAAAATTGTGACTTCTGTTACGAGTTTATCTAGTGTTGCAAACAGTATCTGATAGGAGCAATCCACCTCTATCTCCCCTGGGAAACATCACACCAAGACGATTAGGGCTGCTTCCTCTCCTCTCTCCCAGGCTTGGAAAAGCCAGGGAATCAGGGTGATGGTGGGAAAAGAGATCTTGCTTCATTAAGAAATCCTGCTTCATCATCAAATTATATATATATATATATATAATAATATATATATGTATATTAAAAAAAAAAAACAACAGTCCGTGCTGAAAAAGAGTAAAAACCAATGCAAAGATTTTTGAGAACAGGCTGCAGCCTTCCCCTCTGTACATCCTCCACCAACAGTATTTCTGATTTTTTGGGGTGGGGAAAGGGGAGGAAGGACTGGATCTCCTGCTACAGCAGCTTTCCCTATCACACAAAACTGATGTGTAACTAACTCAGCCACAAGGATATGGGAAAGTTTTATTTATTAAAAAAAAAAAAAAAGTACTTCAAAAGAAAAATGATAAGTACTGTATGGTAATATTGGAAGTATTTATATACATAGGTTTCTTTGTCTTTTGTTGAAATGTCTCCTGGTCACTTGGTGGCACTTGGGGTCCCCTCCAGCGCCGTCCGCCCTGCTCCCCCCTTCCCCTCACCGGCTCTCATGTCTCAGTAGACGGAGCTGTTCCTTATGCCACAGCACAGCACCATGCTCAGGATCATTTCGAAGATCTGTCAGGAGACACAAGGCCACTGGTGAGGTGCTGACCTGTATGACGTGGGAGCTCCCCCCTCCTTCAAGCTAGGGATTAGGACAACCTCACAGCCTCTGGTCTTCCCCCAGCCTCCTCTCCACATAAGCACTCTCATGCCAGAGATAAAAGCAGAGATGATACATCATTGCTGCTATTTTTTTTTTTTTCAGGGATCAGGACCATTTTGACCTAAGATCACCGATACCAGTAAGTCCTGGATAGCAAATTCCTTCCTGTTGCAATGCTTACCATGATCACGGCGACCACGATGGCTGCAATACCGATCAGGTACAGCTTCCCGGAGAAGAGCTCGTCAATCTTTTTGTGGCAGCTCAAGTTCTGAAGCACAGAAACACTGTGGTCACAGATCTGCTTTCCTCCCTTACCCCCTTGGGCATACAAAAAGGGAGGTCCAAGGTTCCTGCTTTCCCCCAAGTCCTACTCATGCTTCCAGGCTTATGCCAGGCCTTGGCTGTAGGAATTCCCACTGGACATCAGCCCTCTGTAAGCCCCTCAAGCAGGAACAGCAAGGGGAGCATTGACACGAACCTCTGACAGCCCTCTACACAACCCCCAGATACATGAAATCTCTGCCTGGTACCCAAACCCTGAATAAATCCCCAAAGTTCCCTGGCAGCCAAGCTCCCTCGCAGAAGATGTGCCAGGGGAAGAGCAGCCAAGCCTACCTGAACCAAGACTTTCTGTAAGGCCTTTGGGCAGAGGTCCTCTCTCCACAGCGCAGGGATTACTCCTATTGCAGTATCAGGACCACAGCAATCCAGCTACAAAGAGGAAAAAAAAAAACAACAACAAACCAACAGGTTAGCAGACAGCACATGCTCTTTTGCAATGCTCTCCCTGCCATTAAACACCTCCAAAAGCCACCTAAAACTAAAGAGGCACCTTGGATGGGGAAAAAGAAGGGGAGGGGGAAGAAACAATTTTCTAATTTTATTTTTTTTTCTTCACATGCAATGCAGCTGCTTCCAGCACTGATCCCAGACACATCAGGCCTGGCATCCTGGAGGAGAACAAACACGATTCCCTCCAGAGATTTGCCTCCTGCTGAGCAGAGATCTCTAATTAT